AACAGTCTTTAGGGTATATTTTATTTAATAATTATGTATACTTCGCAGTTAAATTTTTTCGTTATTTTACACAACCGTTTTGTATTTTTGTTTATAAAATTATGAGGAAGGATGAAATCAAAATTACGCAAGATTGTAAATGTGAAATAATTTATTGTACTAAAAAGATTAACATTCTGCACACCAGTTCTTATCAATGAATTTGACCTATTGATAGCCCAATTATCAGCAGCTTTCCGAAATTGTTTAAAGATGAATTGCAACAAGATCTGAATGCATTCAATGATTAACATATTAATAACGGATTGAGAAGTGGGGGATGTTGGAGTCCGAATCAAAATAAACTCTGAGGAAACTTTTCACTTTTTAGGACACTGATTTGTGGAGATAAAAAAGCAGGATTTTCGATATTTTGGGCTGATGATGGACTCGATACTGGCCCTGTACTCCTACAGGAAGAATGCGAGGTGGAACCAGACGATACAGTTGACACCCTGTACAAACGATTTTTATATCCCACTGGGATTTCAGCAGTTGCCAGGTCAGTCGACATGGTGGCCAGTGGGATAGCCCCAAAAGAACCACAAAACGACAAATATGCCACTTACGATCCAATGCTGAATAAACCAGAACTCCAAAAGGTAATAAATAGATAAATAAATGGAGTTCCAAAGGGATCACCAAGGGGACCTATTTTCAGATTGACTGGAATAAAACTGGAAGAGAACTTCACAACTTCATAAGGGGTATGGATTCTGTTCCTGGAGCATCCTGTTTATTGACCTTGCCCAACACTTCTCAACCCCAGGAAGCATTCCTATATGGTTCTTCCATATGGAGGAAGCAAAAGCCTGAAGGAACAGAAGTTCAAATACAAGGTACCAAAAATGGGGTGATACATGAAGATGGGTTGCTAGTTTCTGGTCGAGATGGGGTTTTGGTGAACGTTAAGAGGGTCAAAATAGGAGGTAAAAAACATTGTTTTAGAAAGAGCACATACTGAAATTTTTGTTTATTTTCACAGGGCGAATGAAGCAAGCTAATACTTTGGACAAGATTTCTGAACAAGTTCAAATCGAATACACCCCTGAAGAAAAAGACATCGTTGAATCATTAAGAAAATCGTGGGAAAATATTCTGATAACAGACGTTGAAGATGGCACGGATTTTTTCGCCTCAGGTGCAGGTTCCATGGACGTAGTAAGGTAAGAATTTGCATCCCATTATTTTTAACGGTTCATTTATTGTCACTTTTAATATCTTGCAGACTTGTAGAAGAAGTTAAGGACATTGCCAAGGTGGAGTTTGAAAATGAAGACGTGTACCTCGCCCCCGTTTTCGACGAATTCGGACTCGCAGTCATCTTGAAACTTAGGGGCGGTTCGGCCCCCGCGGAAATAAAATACAGGGCGATCGAATTGGAAACGAATAACATGAAAATTAAATTCCCATGTCAACTGTTCATCGATGGACAATTCGTGGACAGTGAAGGTGGCAAAACATTCGAAACAATCAATCCTGCGGACGAAAGTGTTATTTGCACGGTAATTAGTAACGTACCTAGTTATTATAAATTATGACTTTTTTTACATTAATAACTGACACAGGTTCAATATGCGTCGATAAAAGATGTTGATAAAGCTGTGAAGGCGGCAAAGAAAGCTTTCGAAAAGGGCGAATGGAGTAAAATCAGTGCTAGAGAGCGGGGACAACTTCTCTTCAAGTGAGTGACTTTTATTTTAAGTATTTCATTAATGATGAATTATTTTTTTAAACGTACATACAATTTATACATCTTTTAGAAGTGAGTTAGTTTAATATGAAATATTATTCTGAAAATTCGTTTCTGAATTTTCACCCACTACACACTACCTCAAATTAATGAGGGAAAAATTGTTGTTGTTGTCACACCCCCGCCGGGAATCGAACCCGGGACCTTTGGCTTTACGCACCAATGTTCTGACCACTAAACTACGAGAGGTGACAAATTCAGAAATGAATTATCAGAATAATGTTTCATATTAAACTAACTCACTTCTAAAAGATATCTAAATTATATGTATGTTTAATCATAGTATATTCAGTATATAGTTACATTAGTTCGACGGATCGTTAACCTTGTAGGTCGGTTGGTCGTGGTTGTTGTTGTCACCTCTCGTAGTTTAGTGGTCAGAACATTGGTGCGTAAAGCCAAAGGTCCCGGGTTCGATTCCCGGCGGGGGTGTGACAACAGCAACAATTTTTCCCTCATTAATTTGAGGTAGCGTGTAGTGGGTAAAAAATTCAGAAATGAATTTTCAGAATAATATTTCATATTAAACTAACTCACTTCTAAAAGATATCTAAATTATATGTATGTTTAATCATAGTATATTCAGTATATAGTTACATTAGTTCGACGGATCGTTAACCTTGTAGGTCGGTTGGTCGTGGTTGTTGTTGTCACCTCTCGTAGTTTAGTGGTCAGAACATTGGTGCGTAAAGCCAAAGGTCCCGGGTTCGATTCCCGGCGCGGGTGTGACAACAACAACAATTTTTCCCTCATTAATTTGAGGTAGTGTGTAGTGGGTGAAAATTCAGAAATGAATTTTCAGAATACTATTTCACTTATTTTTTTAATTACAGATTGGCAGATTTGATGTACCAACATCGTGAAGAATTGGCAACTATTGAGTCAATTGATTCCGGAGCGGTTTACACTTTGGCCCTGAAGACACACGTCGGAATGAGCATAGAAACGTGGCGGTATTTTGCCGGATGGTGTGACAAGATCCAGGGTTCAACCATCCCCATAAATCATGCCAGACCCAACAGGAATTTCAGTTTTACCAGACGGGAACCCGTAGGGTAAGATTGATTGTCTTTTTAGAGAAAAATGCTTGACAACTGCATCATTTTTTAGTGTTTGTGGCCTTATTACCCCCTGGAATTATCCTTTGATGATGTTATCCTGGAAAATGGCTGCTTGTTTGGCTGCTGGTAACACTGTGATAATCAAGCCTGCCCAGGTGTGCCCATTAACAGCCCTTAAGTTTGCGGAATTGTCTGTCAAAGCTGGTATTCCCCCAGGAGTCATTAACGTCCTTCCTGGTTCAGGTAAATTCTCAATATTATTTATCCACCCTTAGCAATTTCTTTGCCCATCCGTAGGTACTGTGGCTGGTAGCGCCTTATCAAGTCACCCAGACGTAAGGAAACTGGGATTCACAGGAAGCACAGACATAGGGAAAGTAATCATGAAATCCTGTGCCGAATCAAATCTGAAGAAGGTGTCGCTAGAACTCGGCGGGAAATCCCCTCTAGTTATATTCAACGACTGCGATTTGGAGAAGGCTGTGAGAATTGTAAGTAAAATAAGATTAAATAAAAGCTAGTTATCATTGTTACATTTCTTTTTCTGCAGGGGATGCAGAGTGTGTTCTTCAACAAGGGTGAAAACTGCATAGCAGCTGGGAGGCTTTTCGTGGAAGAGAGTGTCTACGACGAATTCGTCAAGAGGGTGGTTTTAGAAACTAGAAAGATTGCAATAGGAGATCCACTTAACAGATCGACGTCCCATGGACCCCAAAATCATTTGGCCCATCTTAAGAAATTGCTGCAGTACGTGGAGATAGGGGTTAAAGAAGGGGCAAAACTTGAGCACGGAGGAAAGAGATTAAACAGGCCCGGATACTTTTTGGAACCAACGATATTCTCAGGTGTCGAAGACCACATGTACATTGCCAAAGAAGAGTCTTTTGGACCCATCATGGTCATTAGTAAATTTGACGATGGGTACGTGGTGGTTTTACTATAACTGTACTAAGTGCAATTTTTATCTTCTTTTGTGCTTTATTTTTAGTGACTTGGATGGAGTATTAAGAAGATCCAATGCCACTGAATTTGGTCTAGCTTCGGGGGTGTTTACCAGAGACCTTTCTAAAGCGATGAAATTTGCAGAGAGAATAGAAGCCGGCACTGTTTTCATAAATACTTACAATAAAACAGACGTTGCAGCTCCTTTTGGAGGATTCAAACAGTCAGGATTCGGAAAGGATCTTGGTAATATTTTTTTTATTTTATTATCATGTTTTTTATCATGTCATAATCATCACCATTACTAAGTCGTAAGTCCTAAGACCGATTGCCAGTCATCGCTTTTCCGAAAATCCTCCCTTTACTCCAGTTTCTGCATCTAACATGTTTCAAACTAGTGTCCTACACTCCTTCGTCTCATTTTCCTTATTGACTTCCTCTCATCCTCTTTCCAACACGTCCTCATCTCGAACCTACAGTACTTTTAATCATCCGCCTATAACACCACATTTCTCACACACTTCTAACTGATTTGCTTCCATTTGGACGATCGCCCACGTTTCGTAACTGTACATAATTGTGTTCCAAACACAAACACTCACACACTATTAATAAATTTTATTATATTTTTTTATTACAGGCCAAGAGGCTCTTAATGAGTATCTTAAAACAAAAACTGTTACAATAGAATATTAAATGAGCGAAGATTTGTTTGTATTTTTTTTTCTATTTTGTTTAAATGTATTTTTGTTTTTATAATTACCTCATTAATAAGTTGCTGTAATGATAAGTAAAAGTGTGTGTTATTATTTATTTGACTTTGAAAGTTACTTTTAAATTGGAACTACAAGTATTTTTGGTTGAATGTACAGGGTGTTGGGAGTAGGATCGTAGTTAGACTGTATAATGAAGACAGGAAAAAAAACTTTTTCTACATTTGCATAATATATATTTCGCAAATATATTACATAATAGGTATTACAATAACTACAACTTTTAATACAATACCAATAATAATACATTAATGAAGATACACAAACGTTATCAACAATTATTAAAAATTTTTATTGAAAAACTCAATGGAGAATCTAATACAAAGGCTATAATTGAGTTATAATTCTGGTTTAATTGAAGTAGATTGATGAATTATCATCTTTAAATTAAGTTTTTTCTATGTAGTTGCACTTAGGAATAAAAATTAATATATATTTTACCCTTAAACTACAATTTGTAATGTAATATGTAGACAACCCAACATACAGCAACTATTCAACTCTAGTAATATAATTACGAAAAAGTTAGAGAACGCTTCTTCTCATCAAAATAGGTTTTTTTTGGGTGAAACAATGCTATTGTCGGACAAACAGCAAAATATTACTTAAAATTAATTAATTAATTAGTATAATGGTTTTTAAAGACATCTTGTAAAGTTTGGTTTGAAAGTCCCTACACATTCTTATTTGGAGCTACTAAAGGAGTATTTGGTTACTAATTACGAATACTTAGTTAACTTTTGTCGTAAATTATCGTCTTATTTCTGAAAACGAGACATTTATGAAGATATATAAACAATATTAATCAACAATTTTTATTAAGAATTTTGGTGGAGGCGCCGGGTCAATTTGAAACAAAAGCTATAATTGAGTCATAATTTCGATTTCATTGAAGTAAATTGATGAATTATCATCTTTAAATTAAGTCTTCCCCATGTAGACGCAGTTAGGGATGACAATTTATATATGTTTTACACTTAAACTGCAATTTGTAATGTAATATATAGACAACCCAACACACAGCAATTACTCAAATCTTAGCAATATAATTACAAACAAAGTTAAAGAACGCTTCTTCTCATTAAAACAGCTTTTTTTACGTGAAACTCAATGCTATTGTTGAACAAACCGCGAAATATTACTTAGAAATAATCAATTAATTATAATATTTTTAAAGGCTTCTTGCAAAATTTGGTTGAAACCTTTACACATTTTTATTAGGAGCTACTAAACAAGTATCTGGGTATTAAATACGAATACTTAGTAAACTTTTGTTATAAACTATCTTATTTCTGAAAACGGGACATTCATAATTATATACAAATATTATTAACTAAGTTTTTATTGAAAAATTTTGGCGGAGGCGCCGGGACAATTTGAAACAAAGGCTATAATAGAGTCATAACCTTGGTTTCATTAAAGTAAATTGATGAATTATCATCTTTAAATTATATTTTTTGCATGTAGATGCAATGGTAATTTGTATTTTCCTTTTTAAAATAACTACAACTTATACTTTCATATATAGGCAACCCATCATACGGCAAATATTACAGCTGTACTAATATAACTAGAAAGAAAATTAGAAAACGTTTTTTTCACGAAAACAACTGTTTTAGATGAAACTAAATACTACCCTCCAGCAAACCACAAAATATTACCTACAAATAATTAATTAATTAGGAATATTTTTAAAGACATTTTATTTAAAAATTTGATTGAAAACAGTTACACTTTTTTATAACATTAAAGTACTAATAAGTTATGATTTTCTATTCTAGTTTTTTGTAATTTTCACTATTTTCGGCCCCTTTTCGAGAAAACTGTGATTTTTGAGGGAGAGGGAGGGAGGGGTTGTTGAAAAAAAAATGAAAACAATGGTTATTCGATTAATTGTTTATTTCGTGAAAGAATATAAAACCTATGAAATCCTATTAGACTATTATAGTTATAAAATAACAAGGATAAAAGATAAAACAACAACTTTTGACTAAAACGTCGCACACAGCCTCGAAAATTTCAGAAAACGCCAATGGGACACTGGTTAAGAGACGAAAATTTTCAAAAATTAAACATCAGTTGAAAGCTGCATGACATTTGTACAAAACGAAAAAATAACAAGAGAAAAAATAAAAATTATAAATATGTTAGCTGTCTATGTACAAGTATATGTAAGTACAACACTAAATCCACAAAAAAACTCAATTAAAAAAAAAATATATTACGTATAAAACTGCTCCAGATCAATCACAAGACTCCCCTTTAACATTTCAAATCTCACACACTCACTACAACATTATATGTTAATGTTAATTGACAGGTACTCACTTGACACGTCTTTTGCGCCTTTTCGGATGGTTCTCGTATTCGATCTCTGTGCCCTCGTGGTTGGGCTTGACCAGATGGGTTTCCAGATTGAGTTTCTCTTCAATATTTGCATCTGGGGAGAATGCCAAGCTCCCGTGGGGGCCTATTACCAGATGTCCCCTGTCGACCCCAAGATGTTGTTCTTCACCAGCGTGATGATGGTGATGTTTTTTGGCATCGTCCAATTTTTTTGCGTCTTTTGGGTCTTCGAGAAGGTTCGTGGATATGCCACCCACCCTGGGATGAAGACCCATGCCCACATGGCTTCCCTTGTAATGAGGATTCATCCCATAATGGGACCCTTCGATGCCGAAATTCTTGTTGAGATTGCCGCCCATTTTCCTGTTGAATGTTTCAAAGTCCCGTTCTATATCCTCGTTGTTCTTTTGGGAATCTTGGTTGACGTTAGGGATCTTCAGGCCTAAGCCGAAGTTTCTGTGCTTGGCGGCCAGATTTTCGCTCTTCTTGAATATCTCCACCACTTCGTTCAGTTTGCTGAAGTCCAGTTGGAGATCTTCTTCGTTGTGCACTTTGACAAAGTTCATGAACTCGACGAGATTTTTATCGTCCAGTCTGTGTTGCGTTCCTTCGACTATCTGAAGGAGTTCTTTCAGTTGATCTTTGTCGTATTCGAGTTTTTGGGAGTCATCGTCTCCACTTTGGATCGCCTTCAAGATGGTCATGATTTTTGCGTTGATTTCGAACCTTTTCTCTGGCGTTATGTCGGAGATGTCGATGGCAGAATGATTCTCGTCTTCAGAGGGACTCATGTGGAGCAATTCCGGAAGCTCTGGCAACGGATATTTCGATTGATCTTCAGTGGAGGTGTTAGGGTGCAAGAGGGCAAAGAGGTCTGACGGTAATTCCGACGTGTTTTCGTCAGAAATTTCACAATCTTTTGCTTCAGTTCTGTCACACGAGGAACACGAACAGTTGGTGATTATTTGGACTCGTTTTTGTATTGTTTTTGAGGAGTTTTTGTCGTCGTGGAGGGTCACCTGTAAAGATACGAACAGGGTAAATGTCGTGAGTATTGGGAGACCCTTTAAAAAATAGTTTACATGATAACAGCGACTGTCGGCGGGTTTGCAACTGTCACAGTAGGGTCCTATAAGTTCCCCAGGTTCAGCTGGTTGTGTGCGGGGGATGCTGTAGCTGTAACAGGCCCCCACACACACATTGTTATCTATAGTTACGGGTTCGTATCCTGGTGACGCAACAATTTGTTTGATGGCTGTCGTTTGACACCAGGAATGTCGATCGGGATACAAAACGATATTGTGGACCTATTTGAACAAAACAGTTGTACCACGAAAATAATGTTAGATACATTATTTATCATATATATTTAACATGATGGGTTCAAGAATAAACGATAACCGATTTTTGTGACTTTTTTTTTAATGAATGTAATCGTTCGTCAATTAAATATTGTCTAGGCGCCACATTAATTTAGATAATACAAACATTACGATAGTTTATTTTCATTGCTTCATCGTTGATAACAAAATTACATGTACAAGGATCCAGAGATTAGCAATCAATCAAAATAAATTAGTCAAAATAATCCAATTTCCTTAATTAATGAAAAGCGTAAATAAAAACCGTTCATCTGCATTAAACATTTAAGTAATAAAAAATATTTAACATCTTACCTTGTGTTCCCTTTCGGAATGGCATTGTTTTAACGACACTAGAAGTGATAGTAGCAAAACGTAAATTTTAGAAGAAAGGTCCATTTTTGTTGATCTAAAAAAATGCAGTCAATAATATGGAAGAAAGATTTTTTCGTATTAGTATTTTTAACCCATACGATTAGCAAACAAAATAAAACGTGTAAGGGCGATTTTTATAAGGAAGTTATTTCGCAAAACAACCATTCTCACCCAACAGAGTGGACCATCGGTATTACCATCATCAACAACAACACGCGTTTGTTAAAGATAGTTAGATCTGAGCAGCAAGTCCATTTTTATTTTAACCAACTTGTTTCGAGTTCAAGTTTTTAGTTTTATATAAAACTCGAACTGTATTCTGTAAGATACTTATACCTTCGGTATGGTAACGCATAGGAAATAGTAATAGGTACCAACATATTGGTAAAATGGAACAGAAAATGTAAACAATTTGCGTTTTATTATTATATCTATCTGTTCGTGGCTTTTTAATGTTTATCCATCATTACTGATCACTTTTAAAAATGATTTTATTCGTAGGTCTTTTAGGTTCTCGTTAAAATCACGTGGATGTTTTACAGAAAGAAAAATCTCAGGTTTCGACACCTTCTCAAGTGCTACTTTGCGTTTTTCTGTTTAATAGGCGACTTAAACAAATTGCTAGCTGATAAAAAAAAACCACACCATATTTTTTATGCCTAACTGTTGAAGTCATCCGCATTTGCATAATTTATTCATCACGTAATGACCATGACGGTCGTAAAAAAATTTAAAGTAACAAAAAACAGTATTGAAAAGGTATTAATTTCCTATATTATTATTATTAACTATTTTGATGTAAAAAAAAACGTTTTATTAGTCTTAAGTTGAAAAACCAAAAGCATAAAAACGTACAAAGGGAAAATCGAAATTGATATCTTATCAGAATTTCAATAGTTTAGATACACTGTTAACTTTTGTGAATCGGATAGGAATAATATATAATAATAAATTAACATTAATGGTAAATGAATTAAAAAGGAACAGGTTTAAATTAATAAAAGAGTGGAACTTGTAGAAAAATAAAAGAACTTTCGAAATACATTCGAATGGGTTATAATTTATAATGTTTACGTATAAATCAACAAATTATTGAAGCGCGCATTAATTAATTCTATAATGCGATCAATTTGAATATTCAAATGAAACTTATATATCTGCCAAGCAAAATACGGCTTGTTTATTATTATGCATTAGATTTTTCAACGGGACTTTTTAATCGGCAGAGAAACCGATTCGTTGGTGACATTAATTGACAAAAATTGATTGGCAAAATTTTCAAAAACGAATTGCGCGCAAAGACGTTTGCGGTCAGACTGTAAGAGGGAAGGTTACTAACATTTATTTTATTTAAATGCACGTTTGTATAGAGAAGCGTTATGCTAAAGGCATGAATATATAATTAATGTTGTAGGTAGATTTTTTTAGAAAGCAAACAGGTGCCCGACACTAATAATGATTTCTTCCTTCTGCTATTCAAATATTTATTAGCAGCAGTTTGAATGAAATCTGAAATATTAATCATTTCTGTAGCAATAAATCTAACACAAATAAATAATCGATGGTACATAATAAATAAGTACTTATAAATCAAAAAGCTACATAAGTAATAACTTTCAGTACACATAGAAAGCCAGTAATTTTCATAGTTGTTCACCTTCACGTGTTTGTTTGCTTCGGTTACTTTACAAGAAATTGTCGCTTATCCCTGGCGAATAAATTATAAGCATTAATTGTACACGGGGGATTTTATAGAAAACAGTGGCGTACGATCTATTTCGGCTTTAAATCTTTGTGTCTGTCTCCCCCCACTTCTCCAAACGCCCCCCAGCTGCCTCGTCCCACCTTTACAAACCCGCACCGCCTCTTCAAAATCGATCTCCGTGTGACCCCCCTCCCACTTTAGAAGTCCCTCTAGAGCCTCCCTGTATACGAAACGGTATGTGTTTATAAGTTTAATTAAATCGCAACTTCTCGAAAACTTCGCATTGCCTTGTAGAGAAACCATTCGTGTAATTAATTAGTTAACTGGCTAATTAAAGGCAGCCGTGCATCATGATGCGCGGTGTTATGTAGGAAAAAGATGATGAAAAGTCGCACAAGTTTCTATAAAAAAAGCGCAAACTGATCGACGAACATACAGGGTGTTTCTTTATTTGCGGTTGGATATTGTTAATTATTACGAAAGGTTCGTTTGAATGCAGGTGCTTATTGCAAGGGGTGACGGTCGTTTGTGTGCGGATGTGTGTGTGATAAAAAGGCGCGGCAAAGGTAGGAAAAAGGCAAACGAATTAGAAAGTACAATTTTTGTCGTGGGAGCGATTGCAAAAAGTGTTCTTACCGAATTCCGGGTTGAAAAAAGGTCTGGTTTCGACCAGTGTCACCTCTGTACCAGCGGTAGTGGGTTAGTATATTATTTCCTGTTACACATGGACCATCGGTTAATCAGTAATCGCATTAGCTGGGAACGGTACTGTGGCAATAATAATAACAAGCGCGAATCGACACACACTACACAGACACAAACACAGAGCGATTGTTTCACATTACCACTTGATGTTGTTGCGATTGTAAACGAGCACACAGCGCTCGCAGTGCAAATATAATAGCGTATATACACAAGTCACCTGGCAAAAGGTCACCAAATAACTGATGATGCGATCCTTCGACTTGCTCTCTGGTCTCTCTCTGCCTCCACGAGATCAACTTCTTCACTGCCGATCAAATAACACCTGTGTGTGTGCGCGGCTGTTTTAAAATCGAACGAGAAACGAGAAAACTGAGTGTGCCTTGAACAACAACATCGCTCGCCATCTCTGCAAGCCGTGGTCATTGTTGCGGAAAGCTCAGCCTACTCGACAACTCGTTGTCCGTCGCCACGATACTTACTTATTAGTACTTGCGATACGTATCGAGGTCATTTTGTGTAAGGAAATACTTGAATTCGCAACACACGATCATTAATTGCCATAAAACACGAAAGGTTCCCAGAACGCGCACTTTCAGAATGTGCATCAGCGCAAAAAACGCATTCGTGCTTATTTGCGCACTTAAGGCTTAAATTACACTCATTAATGAGCTGCGTAGTCAGCAACGTTAGATACAAACGCTTATTACACTTATCGTTACTTTAAAGAAAGTTTATACATAGTTACAAGGCAACAAACGCCCTGTATATACTTTCATGAAATAACAAAAACCGCAACACAAAACGATTGCGATTAATTAGAAGGCAGTACAAACGATCTGTCTATCCATTACCAGTAAAGTTTTGTAATATATAGTCAGAAATTGTGCACTTATGCTAATGATAAATGCAACAATCGCTTAACTTTAATGGCGGGAAACAATTCAAAACTTTTAGGCGCGCTTTTAGTTATACTTTCCTCTACACTAACAAGCATGTTTGGTTGCCTACCTAAGAAACGCCATCATCAATCATAACCAACAAATTAACCCAATTGTTTACAAGTATCCTAACCTAAACAATGGGCTTAGACTTTGATATTTTAGAACATTGTAAAAAAGTTCGTGCAGACCATGGGCCCCCTTATACCTGTCCTATTGAAAAGTGCGGGAGAACGTACAAATCTGTTTGTGGATTGCAATATCACCTCAAAAGTTTTGATCATGAGAACCCTCAGGCGCAATTGCCTGTCTTGCCCAGTACCCCTAAAAATAAAAAAGGTAAGCCATTAAAATCTTCAATTTACACTCTTTTGTTAAATAATAATATGCAATAATCGATTACCTACTATAAACATAAAAAAATGCAATAGATTACATTTTGATTTAATATAGGAAGGGCACGACCCAAAACACAGCAGACCTCTGTTATACCCGCACAAGAGCCCTTGTCCTTTGAAGAACAACAGAAAATGGTTCAATTTGAAGTGAACGGTCAGCTTATAAGGGTTAATATTAATGACGAACTAGATGTCATCTCCAATGATGACCTGGCCCAGGAAGAACTATCTGCAAAGTGTCAAGAAGTGCAAGAGCCTATTCTAAAATTGCCTCAGGCAAATTTTAAAGAATTAGACAACTACAACATATGTGATGCCCCTCCCAGGCCTAAGGCTTACATCAGATTTATAGAGAAAAGTGCTGAAGAGCTTGATGGTGAGGTGGAATATGATGTTGATGAAGAAGATACTGCATGGTTAAGCATTATGAATGAGAAGAGGGAAGCCCAAGGACTTAGTCCAGTATCAGTGGACTCCTTAGAGCTGTTAATGGACAGATTGGAAAAGGAGTCATATTTCTTGGTATAGCTATGCGATTAACTGCCTAATTTCTGATGTAACATGTTTATTTTAGGCCAATGTTAATGGCCAAGCAGGCACAGTAGTCGATGATGATGCAGTTTGTTGTATCTGCATGGATGGTGAATGTCAAAACACAAACGTAATACTGTTTTGTGATATGTGCAATTTGGCAGTCCATCAGGATTGTTATGGTGTCCCTTACATCCCAGAAGGGCAATGGCTATGTAGACGGTACTTTACTAATACATTAAAAAAAATGTAAAGGTTAATTAATGTTTGTCTTTAGGTGCCTGCAGTCCCCTAGTCGGGCCGTGGACTGTGTGCTGTGCCCAAACCAGGGCGGAGCTTTCAAACAGACAGACAGAGGTCAGTGGGCGCATGTTGTTTGCGCTCTGTGGATCCCCGAGGTTCGTTTTGCCAACACCGTCTTTCTAGAACCAATAGACTCTATAGAAACGATACCGGCTGCTAGATGGAGATTAACCTGTTATATTTGCAAACAAAAGAGCGTTGGAGCTTGTATACAATGTCACAAGACCAATTGTTATTCCGCTTTTCACGTGACGTGCGCGCAGCAGGCGGGTCTTTATATGAAGATGGACACAGTCAAAGACGGTGGTGATTCCCAGCCTGTTTTAGTACAGAAAACTGCCTACTGCGATACGCATGCGCCTATCGATAACGGTAAGTGCTTTATTTCGAATAGTCAGAATGGTGAACTTAGGACACAAAATTTTGGGGTCAAAACAACTAAAAAAACAATCTCCATGGGAAAGGCATTAAAATATAAAGGAATATAAGAACAAAAGCTACGTTTGTGTTTTATAATTAATAGGGGAACAAAAAAAAGAGGATTCTAAGCAGAAAATGAAACAGGCTCGCAAAATGTTGGCGAAAAAGAGAGGTTCCGCCCCCGTGATATTAATACCTACGATTCCACCCGAAAGGATTCAAGAAATAGGATCGTTGGTTACCATACAGAAGAAATCTCAGTTTATACAAAGACTGATAGCGTATTGGACGTTGAAGAGACAGTACAGGAACGGAGTGCCACTTTTGAGAAGACTGCAGAGCGCCCACGGTAAGTTATAATACGGCTATTTGTTTTTCTTTTTTGTTTATAAACTTGTGTTTTGGTATTTTAATATGTATTTTCTTTTAATTGTCGAACAAAGAGGTGTTGAAAATCGAAAACGCACCCGCCAACTCAGGTAAATATTATCTTATACAGGGTGTTTCTTTTTAAAGTTATCATGGGCTGAATTATTTAAAATTTATGATCAAAAAAGAAAATACAGTAATAATAAAGCCCTTGGATAACTGGGTCTTCAATTAAAAACTGCACCCTCCTGAGTCGTTCGTTTGCACTCTTCATTAATCTTCCATAACTGTACAGCATGGATTTATTTAAAACCAAATTGGTCCATCCTGTACATAATTACTCACATTTTTATTTATAGGACTCAAATCACCTAATTTTTGCATTATTTTCACTGCTTATCATTTCTATTCGATTATTTATTTATTAGTCCCTTATTTAATTGAAATTATAATAGATTTGTACGGGGTCGGAGGCCCGAGGGACTCCAACACTTCAAATGTCGATATAATCGAACTGTGTCGTCAATTAAAATACTGGCAATGTTTGAGACAGGATCTCGAAAGAGCACGTTTATTATGCGAATTGGTTAGAAAAAGGGAGAAAATGAAAGTAGAATATACGAAGGCCTGTGAGAGATGTCTCAGCGTCCAGTTGAACCCCCTGCAGGCCAGTTTGAGGAAAGTTTTAGAACTTACTGCAAGTAAGGACACTAATGAAATATTCACTGAACCTGTGGACCTAGAGGAGGTAAAAAAGACTTGAGTTTAACATTTATTTGCCTTGTAAACATCTTTTATTTAAAGGTACCAGATTATATGACTGTAGTATCGGAACCTATGGATCTGAGCACAATGAGAAACAAACTTGATTCTGGACAGTACCAGGACCTGACTAGCATGGAAAAAGACTTCGATTTAATGATAGCAAACTGTTTGGCTTATAACAACAGAGATACAGTATTTTACAGGTAGGAAAGGTCTTTTAAATAGATCACAAAATACAATATTGTTATTTTAGGGCTGCTATAAAGATGAGAGACCAGTGTGGGGCCATATTTCGACAAGCCAGACGAGATTTAGAACTTGCAGGACTCCTTAATGAAAGCAAAGACTCCAGTACTCAAAATTCTCACTTGAATGAGGAATCATTAGCCTCCGATATTGACAGGGAGTTGGAAAATATACAAGTAAATAAATAATTTATATCGATTTACGTTCTTTTTTACAAGTAGTTCTTTATAATTTTTAGGGAAAGACAGGTCTAGAGGTGATAACAAAATTGGAAGAATTGTTAGCAAAGAGTCAAGCTTTAAAACACGGACTTGCTAGAGCCAAGAGGGTCAAGTTGGTCAGAAGTGAACTAAACAAAGCTAAAAAGGCCTTGGCAAACGCAGAAAGCTCCCAAAGTGATGGCGAAAACGAAAAACCTGACTCCAAAGTTTCATCTCAAAGCACAAGTAACAATTATGATGCAAACTTATTATAAATTTTATTCATTCTATATTTTTCGTCAGGCAGTTCTCCTACAGGAGTAAACCGAAGGACTGCGGTTCTTTTTACGAAAAAAGCCCAAGCAGCTTTCAAAAAACCCAATGAGGAAAAGGACGACAAAGACTCTATATCAACAAATTCAAAAAAGTATGTAAAAAGGTGATCTTTTTGGAAAGTTTTCTTTTTCAATGCTGTTGTTGATAGAAAGAAGGGACGTCCCCGAAGGAACACTGACTCTATGTCAGTCGATGCCAAAGGGTCGGATCCTTCGGTCCCCGACAGCTTTCTCGTCTACAGGGCGGGCCATCAAACATCAGCTGACGAGAATAGTGACAGTGGAACGAGCCTGTCAACGTGTTATTCGCATGAATTATCAGAAATCGAGACCGACGAGGAATCCGAAACTTCTCTGAGTACTGCGGAAATGTCAGGAATCGAAAATGGGGATGGAGGGGATAACAAGGCAGAACTGAAACCTTTACAACTCGTGTGGGCCAAATGCAGAGGCTATCCGTGGTATCCAGCCCTTATAATTGACCCTGAGATGCCAAAAGGTATTTCTTTTAAATATTTGAAAAGATTTATTAAAGGGTATTTCTTATAAATTATACAACAGAATGGGGGGGGGGGTTCATTTAAGTCTTATGAACTCATACAGGGATGAGGGTATCAGTCTTATACTTAACTAAGTTAAATACTTCAATCAAATATTTTTTGTGTGGGAGGGGATAAACCAGTAGCTTATGATTCTTATGTTTGAGAAAATATCCCCCAAGTAATTTATAAACGACCTGAAAATACAAAGAGTTTAAAGGAGAAATGTTACAGGCTACGTTCACTGCGGAGTACCTATGCCATCTCCACCCCCGGAAGTAATGGCTTTAAAAGCCAATCATACTGAACATGTCTATTTAGTTTTATTTTTCGATGCAAAACGAACGTGGCAGTGGTTGCCAGCTGAAAAGTTAGAACTTTTGGGTGAGGATGTCGAAAGAGACGAGGCAAAGGTACGTGTACAGCACTTATATTAACGTACTTGTAATCGTTTTATTACTCCATTAGTCAAACGAACCAAGAAAACCGACTGATCGAAAAGCCGTTCGAAGAGCATACCAAAATGCATTACAATATATATCTCAAGTTAACGAAAATACAGAAGCAGAAGTTGCCAATTAAGGTAAACTGATATTACGTACTTATTCATAATTTAGTGTCGGATTTTTTATGAAAACTTTGTCTGTCACTAACCTTGTCAGTCGAACAAAACTCGATAAATATATACTTAAAATCTAATAAAAAGCACAAAAGACATTTTTGTAAGTAAATTAATTTTATTACAACAAAAGAACGTGGAAAACGATCCGAAGATCATGTACAAATAAATTAAACTTAGTAGATTGCCTAGTTAAAAATTCTTCAGTCTCTAACAATTAGTGGGTGCGCTGTAAAATATTTCACATTTTGTTAATAAGAAAAATTTAAATTATAATGCAGCGTTTTTTACCATTCTGGAGGAGGAGCAGGAAACAGAATGTTAGACCTGGACTTTACAAAGTAGATCAAAATTAAAGAGAGGATGAAAGTGATTGAGCCCAAAGCGATCGTGAATTTTTCATGGGCTGGAGAAGGTTGCAAGTACATCCTTACATTAAAATCGCGCCAAGTCGATTCAGTCCAACTGCTGTACTTTCCCGATCTCCAGTCGTAATCTGCAGACAATTGTCTCAAAAACAACACAACAAACTTTTATAAAAATTCTCACCTGGAATTATAAAAGCTGGGCTTACAGCCTCACTAAAGTTCATTGTGGTCTGATAACAGACTGTATTATTTAAATCTTGTAAACTTTTGGACATATGGAAGTACTGAAAGGCCTAAAAAGATTTATAATAGTAGTTACAGTTCTTTACAAAGCACAGAGTATTTTTTACTGGTGTTTTTGGATCGTTAGTGCAAGTTTTATTATCTTTGAGTTCGTAAACGTTTCCTGTGAGCCAGCCCAACGTAAGACCTATTAAACTCCTAATAAGGTTGGGCGCAACTGGAACACCCACGTACAGGCTTAAAGGTTCTTCCGCAAACTCGTTTTTCTGTATAGCTTTATGGACTTTGCAATTCGGATTGGTCAAATAACAACTAAAAAGCTCGTCAACCTAAAATTAGTTTTCTAATATAAAACTATAACACACCATCATATTCCTGAGGGATTTACCAAAACGATATCAGCATAAAGATTGCTATTGTTATATTTATTACCCGTGACGCTTTCGTATAGAGCTTTCGAGATCATGGTAGAGATATTAGCGACATAAGCCTGAATAGAGTCCTTTGGGATATTTGAGGTATTTTCTGGAGTCACGTTATAATAATAATAGTCAATATTTTCAACGGTATCATAAATGGAGTTATAAAAATGATTAGAATATCCAATCTGATGATCAGTTAAAACTAAACCTCTGAAATCGGGTTTTTCTTTGAGGAAACTGTGTAAAGAACAAGGGGGCAGCAATCCTTTAGAANTGGTAGAGATATTAGCGACATAAGCCTGAATAGAGTCCTTTGGGATATTTGAGGTATTTTCTGGAGTCACGTTATAATAATAATAGTCAATATTTTCAACGGTATCATAAATGGAGTTATAAAAATGATTAGAATATCCAATCTGATGATCAGTTAAAACTAAACCTCTGAAATCGGGTTTTTCTTTGAGGAAACTGTGTAAAGAACAAGGGGGCAGCAATCCTTTAGAAAATTTTAAGTTTACGTTCGGATTGTAGTTTCTTAACATCGTCACAAAATTCGCCAACTAAAGAGAAGAAAAAATAAGTAAAACGATTAGCAGGTTCAGATGATAAGTGTTTCCAAAAGGACCTTTACTGAACAAAGTGCGTTATTTGATTAGACTTAAGTTATGTTCAGTAAAAAAACCTTTTAAGGACACTTTTTACACCATCATATTTTGCCAAGTTCTTTAAGGAAGTTTTAAATACCTCTCTGTCTTCTATTAAAGTATGGGCAACGATTTCTTTTGCTTTACTCAATTGGTTCAGTTCAACATAAAGACCAATGTCCTCTAAACGAATTTGGGGAACAGGATTTTGCACACTGGCGTCGAAAGGTACAGGAAAGACACCCTGTTGCATGTCATAAACCATTCTTTGGGAACCAATATAATCGTACGTTTCGCCGGAAAACACGACGAATAATACGTTCTTATCTGGAAAAAATCGTCACAAAAAAAGATAAGTACTTAAATTAAGAAGAAATTTAAAATTAGTACCGAAATTATTATTTTCTGGTAACATCTTCTTAAGCAAATTGGCAGTTGACAATAAAGTTACAAGGCTAGTAACGGGATTTATGGCCCCGGGATAAACGTCGTTAAAAAACGAAGTGGTATCCATCCTCGAAGCAACAACAATATATTTTTTATCAGTAGAATCTGTTGTATTTTCGAGAGGAAAGAGGGATGCAAACACATTTTTGTCCCCCATTGGATCACAAAATTTTACAGGATTTAAGTTATTCTTAGAATTTGACCTCCTAAAACCCACAAATTTACAAAAAAAGGGTCAAAAACAATAGATTTATGCCTTTAACAACCTCATACATGTAGGAGTGTCAGTTGTGGCAAACATAAAAGAAGTCAACTCCAGAGAACACAACGATCTTTCATATTGACTACTATAATCAAAGTCATTGAACTTCTTAAAACAATCTACAATTTTTTGAACATAACTGTCGTTGTCTAGATAAAATATTGGAAATGGGTAGTCCTCAAACAATAGTCCTGTGCCATACTCATTCCATTGGTGTTTACAAGTACCTTCAATGTTTGATAACTCATTAGGGCATTTTAAATCGTGGGTATAATGGGTCAGACTGCTGAAATTCTGTTTGAAAACAATCAAGCCTGATATTTTATTGCTATTTTTTAAAACATGCATAATTTCATGGCGAAATAAGCTCACTGGCATTATGGGGATATATGGTGGGGCTGTACCATTCTCTAAAAGAAAGTTTAAATCTTTCTGAGACTCTATAACGTGTACTACTCCTGTAGAGCCCGAAGGGGCAGCTAAAATTAAATAAGGGCCTTATTCACCTGTGCCACAAGCAATAGCATTTTCAATACTTACAAGTACAACCAGTTTGATGTGTTGCATTCATTTTTCTAAAGCAAGCAGCTGAAGTTTTTATATTCTCATACATTTTATCCTTTGCCCTCTGGCAGTCTATCCCTTAAAATAGAATTACATTGAAAAATAACCCTTTCTTTTGAAACCTACATGCCCATTTTATATTTTAACAAATAACAATGCATACCTGTGAATATTAACATCAGGAAGAGTAAAACTTGCACTACATTATACTTAAACATTATTTATTATAATACTAACATAAAATAATTAAATCATTAAAATTATCATTTGTTATTATACAGCTACTGACAACTGTCGAACCCCATAAAATGATAGGTTAGGAGCATAGATAATCATTAGGAGTGTCTTCAATCTATGGTGTTATCTATGAAAAGTGTTTAACTCATAGACAATGTTTTTTTTTCAGGAGATTCTCTCTGGGCAAAATATTTCCTATCTATGGACATAACCTTTAATTATTTTGAATTGTGAACATGTCCGCTGATACAATCGAAAGTTTTTATGGTGTTTATTTACTGTATTGCCTTAATCCCCAATATAAAGGAAGAACATATATTGGTTACACGGTTGATCCAAATCGCAGGATAAAACAGCACAACAAAGGAAAGTATGCTGGTGGGGCAAGAAGGACGAGTAATAGGGGACCCTGGTAAGTCACTTTTTCAGTATATTAAGCGTTTAAAAGTTAATTTAATCACAAACAGAACTTCTTACACGTTTAATTCCTTAAAATACTTATTCTTGAAATTAAATGGTGTATAGTTACAATTAAATTTTTTAGGTCCATGGTGTTAATAATTTATGGTTTCCCCAATGATATTTCTGCATTACGAGTAAGTTATTATGTTAATATGTCTCAGCTATTGTATATTTGTATTTTGTTTACTCCAGTTCGAATGGGCCTGGCAGCACCCTTCCAGATCTCGTCGTCTACATCATGTTGCATCTAAGAAGTCTAAAGAAAGGGTTTTTGACTACTGTTTAAGAATTTTAGCTGAGATGCTACGAACAGGACCGTGGAACCGTCTACCTCTCACTGTTCGCTGGTTAAATGAAGATTTTGCAAAGCAATTTCCTGTAAGTGTCTTTAATTTAATTATTTTTTTTTTATCAAAACGCATAATATAGGAAGATAAGCCTCCACCATTCCACATGCCAATTTGTTATGGTCCTGTGATAAGTAAAAAGGTAACAGAAACAAAAGAAACAACTGACTCTGTAATATCAAAAGACAGTTGTATTGAAAAAGCAAACAACATTATATGTTTTATTTGCCATCAAATTATCGATGGCAAAAGACTCACTTGTGTGAATCCTGAATGTGACTTGGTGAGTCACATAATATGTCTGTCGAAACTTTTTCTAGAACCGGGACAGTACGTCCCTGTAAAAGGGATGTGTCCCAAATGCGATGGGGTGTTTTTATGGGGCGACATCATCCGAAAATATAAGGGTTGCTATGGGAATTTAAAAATGGGTTTAACTGCTGACATGGGGGATACATTTTACGAGTCCGACTCTGATTAATTAATCTATAATTAGAGCAAAATAGAGTTGTACTGAAGTAATATTTTTTATTAACAAATGAATTTTTATATTTTTTTAAACAAAAATATGCTCTTTATGTACAAACAAATAAATACGTTTCTTTGGCACTAGTATATATACAATTTAATTGTTATTAATAATCATCGTCGTCATCTAAAAAGTCTCCGTAATCACCGTAATCATCTTCGACGCCTGGAGGCACAAATGCCCCATTTAAAGCCTCCGAAATGGGTTCTTGAAAACCAAAACGTGAGGCCACCCCGTATATTAACCGCATAACAGCTAATCTAAAAGTAAAAGTAGGAAATTCTTATTTACAATTATTTATCGAACATGTAAGAAAACTTTACCTTATGAAATTAACTGCGTTTGTTTCTTTTTGTCGTAAAACTGTACTATAAGTCATTCGATTCTTCTTTTTTGGCCTTGCGTTAGTTTCAGAAATTAGTACAATTATTAATATTGTTGTAGTTAATATTTTTCCTATATTCATATTACTATTTGGTTCCTGAAATGATATAGTATTTTTTATGTGTATGCAACCCAATTTACACTTTTCTTAATTAATTGTTTATTTATTATTATTAAACCCTAATTAACGATAACGGTTTAATATGTACTATTATCTATTTGTTAATGACTTAATCTGTATTAATTTAATCAGAATTTATTTCAGTTTTAAGGCTTATTACCTTATTATTATTTTAAATTCAAAATAGCGCGAAAATTATGATTTCATGATGGCCGCTTATTAATTCATTGTTGTCGGCCATTCTGGAAAATTAGTTTTTAAATAAATTGGGGAAAATACCGTGTAGGAGGAGGAGGAGATGTAGTAATTGTTTTTGTAATGCAGAAATAGTTAAAATTGAAATTATTTCGATTATAAATTTCGCGTCTTTACCAAAACATGTCTTTGATGAAGTTACATATTATGCGATCACGAAAATAACCCGAAATTATGAAAAACTTACGTAAAAATGATACTTACAATCAATAAATCGAACCTCAACACAATATCCACAAATAATAACTCACTTTATCAAGTTTAAACTAACGACTATTAAAAATAATAAATATACCAGCTAGAAGTACACTTTCATACTAACTTTATCAAATATAAACTAAACCTTTATCATCATATAATTTCACTAGTTGGAGGTAACAGGTGAAATGATGCTCTTAAAGAATAATAATTGGATGTACAGTTATTGCTACTACATTTTCGGCTTTAAGTAGGCCACACAGTCTAAACATTGACATTGACTGGTTTAAAAGACAGAATTAGATGTTATATGGCATGAGCCATTCGAAAATTAAGCATATTTCGAAAAATATCGCCCCATTTTTAAAGTAGGTTCCCTTTCACTGAATTTCTTTTACCTTAACAGTTGAACTTCTATATTGAAACACAACTTGAAAAGTAAGCAGACGATTAAAACGTGATATTATGTTAGACTAATTTCTTATATACCTATTATTATTTTGAATTCTTTAATGTTAGTTCAATTAACACATAAGTAAAGGTGCAGGAAAAATTATTGAAAAGTGGTTATTGTAAAAAGACGTTTATTTAAATCTTACAAATTAGATTATACATTAAGCAAATAATAACTTAAAAAATTGCACATTAGGACATTTTTGGCACCATATGTCCATTACTTTGGTTTATATTTTGTATATTTACGTTATCCTGATTCAGACCATTCGGTGGGGTGTTTTGTAATAATCTACTTCGCCTCCTGGTGTAATGTTGCCACAAAAGTATTTGTTGATCATCTATAAACTTTGTACACTGAGAGTTTACCAACTCTCTTCGAAAATGTTCATACTGTAACAGATCTAGGAAGTAGAGACACATCGGGTACTTCAAATACTTTGCATAGTCTGGCTCCTTCCAATACTGTAGATAATTAAGATAATTAACGAATGTACTGTCTTTAAAGTATCCACGTTGTGCTAGAACTAATTTATTTGTTTATTTTAGCAGTGAACGAAAGATTGAATGCTGACTACATACAATTTAAATAATTCGGGTTTGCAAGGCATTGAACGAATTCTAATTCGATCTGAAAACGTAAACGTTGCTGCTCGTCTGTCTCTGAGATACCTGAAACATAATTCCAGCCTTTTTTCAAACATTAATAAACACTGTTTATAAAAAAAACAGTGGCTACCTTTACCAGCCATTTTAGTATCCATGTTGACCATTGATTAATTAAGTCATAAATTTTTCAGTTTCTTATGTTAGGTGTTAAAGTCTGATGTGATTTATTAACAACTTTTTCCTTAAAGTATTGAAAAAGGTCCAGACTTAATGTGAGGTTAGGATGTTTGTTTTTTTTTATGTATACAGTTAGTTCCATAATGAGAATTATTGTCCATAAATTCAAACATCCATAAAAGAAATCACTACCATACTGCTAAGAGAATAAAAGGTAATAATTTTCACTCTACGTCCTTTTATAATTTGGAAAAGGATATTTAAATTGAGTTGTTTTTTATTTAATGATAAATACAAGCAATTTATTAAGAGAGGCTAATACCAGCCACTAAAATTACAATAACATAAATAATTCAAGACTTAGACCTGATCTAAAATAACATGTTACAAATAATAAATTAACAGAAAAAAAAACAATAATCGAGTAAAGTAATAATACGTTAAAACTTGCTGCAAAATGAAGTTATTTATTAAAAATAAGCATCGAACTACATATGAATTAGTCATAAAAAAGGAGTGTGTATAGATAGATTAAAATTGGATTATATTACATTTAANGTGTTTTGTATTCGCTATAAGGGATAAAAATACTATCAAAATTCGGAATTGGTATTACGAATTCATAACATTTACTCGGACTTGCTCCTGAAACAAATAATTAATTAATTTCTTCAGTTGTTAACAGTGGCAGTCGGTTATGTACCTTTTAGGGTCTCGAACCGCCTCTCGCTGCTTCTTCTAAAGCCCTTACTTTAAGTTCCCTTTCTCTCTGTTGTCTGCAAATAAACGTTTAAAGGGAGATACTCAATCATCTTTTAAATTGGAATTTTTGTGTAGATTTCTTACCTTAGGTATTCTTCATGTTGAGCAACGAGGGAAGGGTGAGGGGGAAAGCGTTCTCTCTCGAGCAGTATTTGTCTCTGTAATTGTTCATGTGCTGCAGCCTTTATAGAAAACATAGTTCTCTTAAAAATTGTGCCGTAACAAAAATGCACTTTTTAAGATAACTAATTTCACTTTTAAACTAGTTCGTTTAAAAGCAAAATAGCGTTACAGTAAAGTGTATGCATATTGGTTTTCTAATTTACCTGATGCGCCAACTGGTCCGCATACGGTCGTCCCAACAAATCGGGATGATGCAAACCTAAAGGCGGCTCTCGGCCGGGTATCATGCCCGGTCTCGGATACCCCGGCCCGCCGGAAGCTAGAGAAAGATAAAGAGGATCTGTAGGTAGAAAAACAAAAATTGAATGTCTACGTTTCTTATAAAAACAAAATATGAACGACAGAGGAACACTATGGGATGAAAAAATAAACATTAAGTACGTAATATAGGTACAATGTGATTATATGAAAATGTTACGATGATTGTACAAAGCACAACAAAACAAATCAAAAGAATGCTAACCTGGCAATGGGAATCCCGCAGCTGCAGCGGCCGCAGCTTCCTGTTGTGCCTGCTGTTGTTGCGGGTGGAGGTGTAAGTGGGTGTGCGCGTGTGTATGGGCATGCGTATGAGCGTGATATTCGGGGGAAATACCGGCCATTTGCAATCGCACCATTGGATCAGTAGCTAATGCCAAACGTTCAGCAGCTTCCAACTGGGCAGCATGGGAAGCTGGGTGGTGAGGACCGTGGGGGCCTCCAGGGGGCGCACCAGGCGGACCTGGAGGTCCCGGAGGTGGAATACCAAGACGCTCCAGACGTTCCCGTTCCAGTTGCGACAAAGGCCCACTACCACCCGCACCAGGATAGAGGGCAAAGTGATGAAGAGGAATTCCTGCAGGACCTGAGATAATAAAATTACACCGGGTCTCCAACAAAAGCGAACATGTGTACCTCCAGGTCCAGCCAGTCCAGCAGCTGCATAGCGACGCTGTATTTCGAGCCAGTGGGGATCCATGGGATTCGGAGGGCCTCTCATTCCACTTTTCATGATTTCCTCTTTAAGTCGATCGTTTAGTTCTCGTTCTCTAAGTTCCCGAATCTCCCTTTCGCGTTTCTCGCGCTCCAAATGTTCCAATTCGAGTCGTTCCCTTGCTCCTGGACCATACATGCTGCTCAACTGATACTGAAGCATAGGATCCATACAGTGGGCTGGCGGCAGTAAGGAACGCGACATATGGCCTAAAACTTAACAAAATAACGCCAGGATTTTTGCTTCTAAAAATATACCAACCTGGACTGAAGCCTGCGTGAGGCCTTGCATATTCGGACAGCTGTCTCAAGGCTGGCGTGTCCGTAAATCCAGGTCTTGGAAATCTGTCGTAGGGCGAGCTAACAGTTTCTAGTGGTCCTCTAGAAGGTGGTTTTACTTCCGGTTTATCCGGTGTTGTAATTTTACGTTGCTGTGCTTGCTGAGCCCTTTCGCGTTCTTCTCTTTCTCTCTCCGCTTGTTTTCGCAGTCTTTCTTCGCGTTTACGAGCAAGTTTAGAGTCGGGAACAGGTTTAAAGGTCAAATCAGTCCTTGCGCACGAATTGTAGTCTCCCCGATTCCAGTGACGTAAAAATCTGCACATAAAATACATTGTAAAAGAATACATAGCGTACACAAACTAAGCCCGTACATTGCTGACTGACTTCGGTGACACTCGCTATCTTCTATTCGGGGTTCTGGTGAAGGTCCTCGGGAGGGTCCGACAGGACTACTTTGACTATCTTCTTCAGGCACTGGTTCGGGGTCAGGTTCGATCTTAACTTCTTCGGGAATAATTCGTGGAGTTTGGGCAACAGAAAGGGACATGGGAGAACTTGAAGGGGGTTGCATAGGACTTTGTTGCTGTTGCTGTTGCTGCTGTTGTTGTTGTTGCTGTTGCATATTTGCCGCCGCTTGGGCCGCGTGAGCCCGCAAGGCATCCAACGAACTAGTGGCCATTTGAGGAGGAGGTCCTAGTGACGGATGGTGTCCCATACTTGGGGGTTGAATCATTAAATGATGGGGATTAACCGGGGATGGTTTGTTGTTGTGTCTACTTCCTATCATGGGATTTGCAGGAGACAATCTTTCGTGGTGATGTGTGTGATGGTGAGTGTGTTGGCTAGTCGAAGAAGATAACTGGTTGGAAGACGAAGAGGAAGAAGTTGGGGTCTGAAAAGATAAACGGCGTGTTAATTTGCGTTTCCTTCCTGATCATTTTCAAAATAAATACCTGCGACTGCACAGGAGTATGGGGAGAATTCGTGCGCACCGTTTTCTGATTCACTTTAACCTGTAAAGATTGACTCGAACTTGTAGAGTGTGAAATACTGATAGTATGATTCGTTCCGCCCCCATAATTCTGTTTATCGGTTGTCGAATGAATCGCACTGTGGTGGGATAAGGACTGGTGATGAGTCAACGTCGTCTCCTGAGTCTCCCGTTTTTCTAACCCGCTCACTTCGTCCGGCTCTCGAACCTCCCTGCGCGTCGTGACCGAACTAGTTGAAGTATGCTGTGAGCTGGACAATGTGGTGGAGTCGACTTTTAGGCTTTGAGCGGGCGGCATCCCGTGAGGCTGAGTGGGAACTGGTCCATAAGGATAGGGATACGAAAAATGGTACCCAGGATATGGATGAGGTGGAAATAGGAACGAATGATGCATGAGAGGATGAGGAGGAGGCATGTGACCTCCAAACGGACTCCCTTGTGATGTGGGCGGGTGAGCAACTATCCCCGCGCTTGGACTTACAAGATTTATTGCGCCATGGTTAGACGAGCTGTGGGGAGGTGTTTCTGAACTGCTCTGCCTTAAAGGTGGAGTTTGGGCGATATTTATCGGTTTTGGAGCCGGGCTTTTGTCCCTAGGACTGTTTGTACGTTGACTTGAAAAGTCTGGCTCTTTTTTGATGTTCTCAGGGCCTGACGGGGGTCTCTCTGACGAAGAAGACGAAGACTGTGATATAACAGCCGAAGGGAGACTGAACCCAGGGACTTTGACGTCCTTTAGACTTTGCAAGGGATCAGGTGGAGGCTGTATCGAGACAGAGGGTGGTGGAGGTGGTGGACCGGCGCTTGTATGATTCTGGGGTTGATAATGGGTCGGGTGAGGGTATGGTATTCCATGTCCGCTAGTACTACTGCCACCACTACCACTTGATGACGCCATGCTGTGATCGGGAACTTCCTGTTTGATTTTGAGATTCTGGGGCTCGTTTTGACTGGGCGGTAACTGCTGATGGCTTATCTGATGATGCTTGTCATAAGGGCGAGGTTGATGACTGTACGGAGCCCCGGGCAAGTACCCGTAATGATTTAAAGGAGACTGTCCGCCAATAGTTACAAGATTGTTTGATTGCATGAGACTTGGAAGTGGGGGTTGTCCTATAGACGACCCCATCCCACTTAAATCGTGCCTATCGGGTTTATCTGGTCTATGCAGCCTTTCCGGTCTTTCCAGCTGTTTTTCTTCCGGTTTCGATTCGTGTTTCTTCTCCTCTTCTAATGGTTCGCTGGGACGTGTGCTACTCTGTAACTGTTGTGCCATCGGTATAACCGTTGGTATGTTGAGTGGTTGGGAATAGTTTTCTATTCTGGAGGAATTTGTAAGTTCAATAGGTTCGTCACGGGGTTCTAATTTGATAACCATATTCACGGAATGGTTCGTTAATGTGGTGTCTTTGTAAACGTGAGGGTCTTTAAGATAGTTGTGATTTAAATTTAAAGGTGAAGGTTGTTGGTCTTTTTCTTTGACGTTTTGTTTAACATGCACGTTGTTGTCTTTCAGATTTAAAGCGTGACTTGGGTGAATATGATTTACGTGTCCATAACTGTTATATGCCTGTGGAATGAACGTATTGGCACTTTCCTTGTTGTAAACATTTTGCTCTTCCCTGGTGTTCATATTTAATGCCTCATTACTGGAATCCACTTCCTCCTTTATTGTTACCACTTTTGGTATTATAAGTTCTGTTTTTACTTTGTCCGAGTTTTCCTTTGATTCTTCTTTAAGTTCCTTTTCGGGTTTGGGATGGAACGTTTCGTTCTTTACAGGTTCCTGTTTAATTTCTTGCACGTATTTGGGCGGTTCAACGCCGAACCTGATAGGCTCGGAATTGAATTTGGGTTCGTTCGGGTACATGACGGGTTCTGAGTTGTATTTGGTAAATTCTGGGTTGTACTTAACGGACTCCGAATTGAATTTTATGGGTTCCGAAGCAAATTTGTTTGAATCTGGTTGTGAACTGAATTTTGGCTGAGGTTCTGAACTATACTTCGTTGGGTCAGAGTTAAATTTGTTAGGGTCGGAGTTGAACTTGACGGTTGATTCTGAGTTAAATTTACCTGGATCTGAATTAAATTTAGACGAATCCGAATTATATTTGACCGAATCCGAGTTAAATTTAATCGGTTCAGGGTTAAACTTTGCGGGTTCTGGAGTGAACTTCACGGGTTCCAAAGAATTAAACTTCGTAAGCTCTGACGCGCTAAATTTAACAGGTTCTGGATTGTATTTCATTGCTGGAGGTGGTTCGGAGTTAAATTTAACTGGTTCAGGATTAAATTTGACAGGTTCAGGATTGAATTTGACCTGTTCCATATTATACTTAAGTTCTTTCATTTCGGTCATGTGATCTAGATTGCGTTTGATGAGGTTCTTGCGTTCATTAATGTCATCAGGGAGACGTATGGACACATTGATGGGCTTGTTGTTTTCGGAAGTCTGTTGTGTCTTACTAGTAGTTATTACAGGCACGGAGGGTAGAACAGTTACGGGGGCTGCAGACGTGGGCTTTTCAGCTGTAAAATACAAAGTATGTTACATTACAGTTTTCGAATAACCAAATTTAAATATTTACTCGTTGCCGGTGAAAGTTGATCTTCTTTGACAATGGTTTTGATATCTTGAGAATGAGAAGTCGATACGGGGGTGATGTTATTATTGTTGCTGCTGCTGTTATTATTGTTATTGTTTACTGTATTTCTTGTTGTAGTTAATGTGCAGGTACTGTTAGGTACTGAGACTGATGTGGAAATGGTGCTCGGAGGATCGGTAGGTTCTGGATCGGCGTCATTGTTGTCTACGTCGTCATTAACTGATCCAGAATCTGTTGTAACACTCGAAGGACTCTGTAACAAAAATGCTCAATGTAACTATAATTCATATATTCGAATTGTATGTATGCTCTTGCCTCTGCCCTTTCTCGCTTCTTTTTGAACAGTCCGAGGTCTTTTTCTTCATTTTCGGTCTCTTCTAGCTTATCTTGTCCTCTTTTTCTGTTCGTTTTCAGCGGCGCTTCCTGTTTGTCGTTCTTCACACCCTTTTTATTTTTCGATGGGGTANATTTAGACGAATCCGAATTATATTTGACCGAATCCGAGTTAAATTTAATCGGTTCAGGGTTAAACTTTGCGGGTTCTGGAGTGAACTTCACGGGTTCCAAAGAATTAAACTTCGTAAGCTCTGACGCGCTAAATTTAACAGGTTCTGGATTGTATTTCATTGCTGGAGGTGGTTCGGAGTTAAATTTAACTGGTTCAGGATTAAATTTGACAGGTTCAGGATTGAATTTGACCTGTTCCATATTATACTTAAGTTCTTTCATTTCGGTCATGTGATCTAGATTGCGTTTGATGAGGTTCTTGCGTTCATTAATGTCATCAGGGAGACGTATGGACACATTGATGGGCTTGTTGTTTTCGGAAGTCTGTTGTGTCTTACTAGTAGTTATTACAGGCACGGAGGGTAGAACAGTTACGGGGGCTGCAGACGTGGGCTTTTCAGCTGTAAAATACAAAGTATGTTACATTACAGTTTTCGAATAACCAAATTTAAATATTTACTCGTTGCCGGTGAAAGTTGATCTTCTTTGACAATGGTTTTGATATCTTGAGAATGAGAAGTCGATACGGGGGTGATGTTATTATTGTTGCTGCTGCTGTTATTATTGTTATTGTTTACTGTATTTCTTGTTGTAGTTAATGTGCAGGTACTGTTAGGTACTGAGACTGATGTGGAAATGGTGCTCGGAGGATCGGTAGGTTCTGGATCGGCGTCATTGTTGTCTACGTCGTCATTAACTGATCCAGAATCTGTTGTAACACTCGAAGGACTCTGTAACAAAAATGCTCAATGTAACTATAATTCATATATTCGAATTGTATGTATGCTCTTGCCTCTGCCCTTTCTCGCTTCTTTTTGAACAGTCCGAGGTCTTTTTCTTCATTTTCGGTCTCTTCTAGCTTATCTTGTCCTCTTTTTCTGTTCGTTTTCAGCGGCGCTTCCTGTTTGTCGTTCTTCACACCCTTTTTATTTTTCGATGGGGTATGTGGCGTGTTGCTATTAGAAGTAGCGTTTTTATCGAGAGGGCTGTTGTTATTTGCGTGCTTCTGGGGCGTTTTCGGCTCAGGTGTCTCTGCTTCTGAATAAAATTTAAATTTAACTAAGAAAAGTGAGAGAGATTATTATTGAGAAAACTGTACCTCCCCGTTTTGGCCTTGCCCTATTAGAAGTTTGTTCCTTTGCAGCCTTGTTTCTTGTGCGCATACGCTGTGGACTGGCATCAGGACTCTCGGCAACTGGTCTGAAGAGGTACGCAGGTTCTTTGTCTTTTTCATTCTTCCCGTCTTTCACCGAATTATCTTTACTGCTGTCTTTGCTGTTCGACTCTTTGTCGCCTATTGCACCTCCCGTGGGATTTGTGAGAGGGGGTAGCTCATTGGTCTTTTTATAATGCACGCGACAGTCCCAACATAATATTTGCCTGTCCTTACCTCCTGGGGCCCAATCTCGCGAACCTTATTATAAAATACATTAAAATAATCTAATAGGAAACTAATAAATTTGCATTATTACTTGTGGTGAAACAGTGCGAACACCGATACTGGGATTCCCGACTGTCACTATCGTCTTCCGAGTTGTCATCTTCAGTGACCGAACTTGTTTCTCCAGGTTCTTTGGCGGGTTGGGTAAACGGTCGGCTGGTTTCTGTTTCAGCGGGCGTGGAACCTCGACCGGAGTTCGGGGGTGTATTAGCCGCTCCTCTACTATTCCTGGTGTTTCGTATCCTCCTAAGAGATCCTTGTCTTCTTCTCCTGTGAGGTCTGTTGTTGTTTGCACCAGGTGTTTTCTTCCACAGATAATAAAACTCCACTAACTCCGGCTTTAAAAAATAGAAAACAAATTTACAATGAGGGAGACCATTTCGAAATTACAGAACATACGGTGTCTTTGTGGGGTAGGAGATCTTTTCTGATCCTGTAGAAGTTTTTCCCGAACTGGCGCAACCCTTTTACGAATCTCTTCGTTTCTTCTTCGGTCCATTTTTTATCAATCCCTTTTGGAACGGGACATTTAACTAAAGCTTGCAGCGCCCTGCCCGGATCGTACCCCGAGTCGTGCAACTAAAAAACCACCACGTCATTTCCTCACCCCCTCTCCAAGTTATTCAATGTTGTNGCAGGTAATAACGTGTTAATGACTTACACTATCCTGCAAAATGCGAAAACGTTACATCACCAAAGACATTAGTAAAGATTTAAATTATTTTATGAAGGTTACAACAATTTTATTGCTTTTTAATAGCTCGCATTACATTAGCTTTAATAATTCTGTGGATATATTACACAAATGTATACATATGTATCGGATCTGTGTACGGTAATAATCTCACTTTTTTTCTTTTCAATTGTACTTTCATTTATTGTGACACACACTGTACATACCTAAACGAAAGAAAAAAAAAACATTGTAAACAAGTAGGCTATTTCGCTGTTGTTAAATAACATGTTCAACTAAACAACAAACAGTAACCGTTTTAATTAACTGTTTTTATTTTCTTTCAGCTTTTCTTTTTGAACGCGTAAAGCGAATTACTGTAGGTATATAATTATTTTGAACGAATCAATTATAACGAATAATTATGTTTCTTCTTTTCTTTTTCTTACTATTAATCACCTATTGTTTTAGAGAACATTTATAAGCCCGTTTAATTTAGATAAGTGTACGGTACATAAAAGTTATTATTTACCTCCGCCTTTATTACATAAACCATTATTTTCTAGTTCAATTGCACGATTTGTTAAAATAATTACAATTCTATTATTTGGTAATTACTCTGTTTAATTTCGAGCTGTAGTAAATTACGTACACGTATTAACAGTATACAATCGAACTTTGATTTTGATTGTGAAGCGGGTTTTCTGCACTTTTAAATTTAAAAATGAGAAAACATTGAACACCCTGTATACTATGACATAAAAATACCTGTCGTAAATAATGTAATCTGTGTGGATATTTAAACATTATTACAACTTTTCAATCACGACAGATAACAATATGATAAATTATGTTTATCTGTAAAATATTTGTTTAGATATCGACAAGCTGAAAACTTTTCAAATGTCAATTAACGCTGGCAATTAACAGGTTTGTAAATGCACATACAAAAAGTGAAACATTCATTTTATCGCGCTTAATACACGGTACAATGGCAAAACTATCAATTATGTTTAACAAGGTTACAACAATTTATCATCTGTAGAATTGTAAAACGCTTCATTGCGTTAGTGAAATCAAGAAGGCTATTAAATTGAGAAAAGTACAGGGTGACTTCGTGCGATAAAATAAAAAAAGATATTGAATCGATTATGAGTGACAATTAAAAATGTTTATGTTAATTGGCAATTTTCGTTGCATTTTCTGTCGAAATGCCAGTTTGCTTAGCACATTGATTTTTTGATAGATAGGGTTGTGCTTTTATGATCACCCTGTACAGCATAAATACGTCAACCAATGGTGGAATTCTGAAACCGCGAATATCGAAGTAAGCTGTGGAACAAAAGAAACTAAACAATGATTGATAAAACAGACGCGCGCCACACAAACGACTATAGTAAAAAGCCGAATTTAATCAACCACTTCCGTTCCGTAAAATACATACCTATCAATTACACGTGCACGGACTGTACATAACACTAAATTAGCAAAAACCCCCCACTATATTTACGATCTTGTGTACATAACAATTAAGATGTCAATTAGGGCACTTAACTACACATTTAATTAAATCAAAAGCCTCGAACGCGGCTAAACTAGTAGATTTCGATAGGAAATAAGTTTATCAAGGTGTTTTTCTTCCATTTTTCTTAGTCAATATACGTGAAAAGCGAAAACTTACCAATTTTCAAAACAATTGCTTCACAATAAAATAAGGATCAAAGCAGGCTATTTTACACATAAACTCCAACACCACTGCACTCACATACAAACCCATTAGTTAAAATAGTTAAAAATCACTTTTTTTCGTTTATTTTGTACGAAAAAACGACAAAGTCGAACTTAATACAGTACCTAGCCTATCGATCCACCGCGGCCATTTTACTTTTAGGTTCATTCAACAAATTATAAGAACTAACGTGCCATCTGTCGGAAAATGTGCTTGGAATTACAAGTTAGCTATGACGTTTTTACAAACTGTTTAATTAACATAATAGTGGGGGAAATACCAATATACTCTTTTTTTCCTTTTTTCGTTTTTTCATAGAAAGTATTTGAATAAATTACCTAAAGATATTAAAATAGGACAAGTAAGTAAATTGCAGGAAAGGAAGAGCATGTTGTGTATTTTAATAACAGCTATTTATTAGTACTTAATAGATTTCCGTTAAAGAAAAACTAGGAAATTCTCAAATAAATATAACAGACTGAGAAACTAATATGTTAATTAAAATTTCCTCGATGCATGTGTTGTACTTATAATGTGATATTTTAATCACATTGTTTTAATATTGTATATCAAATGAAAAGTATTATACATAAAAATAATAAATATGCTTTATTATAAAGTTGTTTGTGAAAATAGTGTTTTTTTTATTTAATATATATAAATTTTCTCCCTTTTATAGGAACTATAGCCACTACTTTTTGTGAAGGTCAAATAGTGAAACGTCAAGCTCTATGGTCAAGGTAATGTCAACATCATGCATAAATAATGGATACTTAACAAAATAATATATTCAACCCTTACAAACAACCCCAGCTTTTTAAATTCTGATAAAATGGACGAATTCAAGCAGAAAATACTGAGTTTAATTAATAAACAGGTAAAGATGCTTTAAATTTTTAAGATCCTAGAAATTTATAGGTTATGTTGTTTAAAACACAAACGTTTTATCAACTATTTCTTAAAAAATTGACATTTTAGGGACCCAAAATTCCTTCCATGGGTTTTGACGACATTTATCAGTTCCCACCAGTCCAGGAATTATCAATCAACAGTAAAACTGTATTGGAATCTGACAGACCTGCAGACCAAGACATACTAGAAAGTATTGAAGACTCCTATTTTTCTGTTGACGAAAATTACGATATATGCAGATACGTATTAAGTGTAAGTTATATTCTTTTCTAATTTGGACCTTTTTAAAGGGTAGTATTTACAGAAATTACCAGAAATATTAGATTGTGAAGAGATCCAAAGAGATTTTAAAAATCTTAAGCAGCAACATCAAGTTGTCAGCAAAAAGGTGTTACAATTGATATTGGAACATCAAACAGCATGTAATGAGGAATTTGAAAGGATTCTGGAAATAATTGATAAAGTTAAAGATGCTCTAGTGTTGTGTACCCAAAGCAGAAATGAACTCAACGTTGCAGAGAAACAGTTGAGTTTCAGTTTGAGTATTTTAGAAAATTATAGAAAAAGGAAGATTGTACAAAACTTATTGCATAATTTAAAAACCATTAAAACATTGGTAAGTGAGAAATTAAAGCTGAAGTCGGTTTCTGTTTAAGAATTACTGTTCTTTTGTTATAGTACCAGACGGATCACAGGTTGCAGGAGCTTCTGGACGAGGAAAATTATGCAGGGGCCATTGAATTACTTCAGGAATGTCAGGCAGCAGCAAACACTTATAGACATTTCACTTGTGTTGCTGCCTTGACTAATAAATTGCAAGAAACTTTGGAAGAGACTGAAGAGAAGTTAGATCAAGTATTGGCTCAGGTATGGGGCACATTTAACCAATAAGAATAGTCAAATAATATTGTGTTTTTCTAGATGTGTTACTATTTTGATAGTATTCGCTATAGTAAGCTGCAGGATGCATTTAAGTTGTTGGGAAAGACCCAAATTGCGATGGACCACCTTCACATGCACTATACAAGTGCTATTTACAACACTGCACTCAATATTGTAAGAGTATACGTAGATTGTGCGGAATTTTTGGACCACAGTGATCATTCTGGCAAAAAACCTTTTGACAAACTTTGTCTAGTAAATTTTTATACTTTAGAGAAGTTTGTAATTATTTTTAAATCTTATTTTTCTAGTCCATTAATCATGAAACTTTTATTCCTTGTTTGGTAGACTTGTGCAAGTCTTTGTTTAAAATTGTTCTGAGTTATCACCAGTTGACAATGTGGCATAATAACAAGGAAAGTGAGCCTGTTTCGCCTATTGGTACAAACAGTATCGATTTTGAAGAGAATTTCAATCGACAGTACATTAAACAGAAATTAGAAAGTGGTCTTTTGAAAATATGGCACGATGTTCAAAGTAAAATTTCTGTAGTTCTGTTAAACAGTAATCTGGCTTCTTATAAGTTTGACCAGTTTGTCCAGGTGTTAAGTGTTGTGCACAGGTACAACAAATTACAGTGTCTTTTGTATCTTCAATTAATTTACAATTATTTTTCTTTGTTACAGATTGATTGAAGTGGGTGAAGAGTTTTGTGGAAATAAATCTGAAGAATTGCAAGAATCGATAAGGAAACAAAGTGCAAATTATTTTCGAAATTATCACTCTCATAGGCTCGAGGAGTTGAAGATCTTTTTAGAGAATGAAAGCTGGGAAATCTGCCCAGTCAAACCCACGTTTGAAATCTTGCAGTTACAGGCAAAAAACCTTTTTATTTATTTATGATTTATTATTTAATTGGTTATTATTACTCTTTAGGAGTTTAAATCACTCAGATCAGTTCTGAAGAATTTCAAAGCTAGGCCCCAAATTGTACAAAGCGTTCCCTATTCCAATTCTCCTGATTGCAATTCGTCTAATCATTCCCAAGACGGTAGCAGCATTGTAGGTAATTAATTATCGATTCTCGTACTGTGTTAGACACTTATTAATTACACAATAAATTAATCTTTAAAGGTAATTTCTTTTTGCGATATGCTCAACACGGGACTCCTTTCGATTTAAGCCTGGACGAGACTATAACTGAAGAAGATATTTTAGCTTCCGTGGGCGACGAGGCTTCTGGTTATTTTTCAGAAGAAAGTGAAGAAGAGGAGTCTGAAGAATTGAGAAAAGATTTTGTAGAGGATTTTGTTGATGAAACAGCACCCAAGTGAGTACAACTATTAAACATTTACATTAGTTACTTCCAATTTATTTTTTCTTGTGGCATTCCCAGGATTCCTCAAAAAGATAAGAGGGAAAAGCACAGTGTAAAAGCCCCTATACTAACCAATACGACCTTAACAGTCCTAAGACAGATGGGAAAGTATTTACAAATGTCCAGACTTCTGAGGCCCATAGCTTTCGACATAATAATGTGCATGACACAATTGTTTGACTTCTACTTGTACACTGTACATTCGTTTTTCGCCTCTGACTTGGTAATTGCTTATAATTATATAATTCGTGTTATTAATTGATGTATTTATCTATGTACAGACTGTGTCTGGTACATCTCTGTATTCGATCAAGTTCAGTGCGACTTTGAAAAGAATCTCCGATGACTTGGTTACCGACGAAACGAATCATCAAAATGGTAAAGTTTTGAAGCCGATTTTGTCTTCGATTGTGAATTTGTCGAATCCGGAAGACCTGAATGGATTAGCGGAGAGAATTTGTGCCGTTGAAAGTGTCGTATTTTTGGCGAAACAGTACGAGTTTTTGCAGAACTATATGGAATACCTGATACCCACAAGTAAAAAGGCCTCTTTGCAACATTTTTTTAGCCAGGTACCTTTTAAATTATATTTTACCCCTTTATTATTTTCCCTTTTGTTAGCAGTCAATTAAGTTTCTTATTTTGCCATAATTGCCCTTCCTTCCTCATATATTTATTTCAGTAAAAAGGCGAGGGTTATATTATTAAAAACCGTTTTATTTATTACATTTATAAAAAGAAATTACAACTCCTTATAAAATTAATAATAGTCATGTTAGTCTAATTTAAAACTTAATTTTTGTAGCACTTAGTAAATAACCCCCGAAATTCATCGTAATTTCGGGATGAGTTCTTTCAGGTAGTACCTGATAATATCTCATGAAATTATTGGTCACTCTGATATTGACAAAGTCCGAACGTTTCTTTAAATAAACGTAGAGGTCTTCTAGGGGTTCCGAAATCATACTAAACACAACCAGAGCTCTGCTGGGATTCAAAAACTGCACCAATTCTTCAACAATACTTTCTGGATGCTCTTTAGCTACTATTATTAAAGCGTCAATCTTATCCTTTAATATCTCACATGCCTTTTGATTATCAAAGTGCCAACAGGGCCTTTTAGCTGAGGGGCCACTTGTAGAATTTTCTTGATCATTGTGGGTACGTTTAATACCCTTGGGTGCTTCATTTTCTTCATCTTTTGATGTTTCTACTACAGTAGGTTGTTCTTCTTTTGTTTGATTATTAACTTCTGTTTCATCTTTACTCTCATCATTTTTCTGTACATCCCCCTGATAATACCAACGTAATACAGAGTAAAGATTAACATTGATACACCTTTCTACTTGTTCCTTGGGGAAATTCATTGCAAGAAAAGCAGCTTTTTGACACTCATTTCCTGGATGAGCATGTACAAGTTTTCCTGTTGTGTTAGCACCAATTGCATTCATGATTGCTGCACTAATTAGTCCTGAAGTTCCACTGTCATATAGTAAAAAGTTTCCATCAGACTGGACATTGGAATAGGTCAAAATTTGTGACAGGTCATCTATTCTAACACCTAATACTTTAGAGGGATCTAAACGGTAATATGTTTCAGCCAATAGCCTTATTGTGGGCTTTCGTATTTGTATATATTCGAAATATTTCTTTTCTTTTTTGCTAATGTACTTTTCTTGACTCATTTTGGTCTTCAATTTGAACGATTTCGAATTAGTAATGAGCTTTTCTATCATTTCACTTGAACCCAAGGCTTCGTCACGTAACTTGTCTATGTCTTCTTTTGAAAGAGCTTGGGAACTTCTGTCGTCGGTTATGTTGCGATTGTCTTCTCCAGACTCTTCTATATCCAATTCTGAGGCACTGGTGACGTTTTCCGTCTTTTCTAACGTGTACAAATTCTTTTTATCAGGGGATAAGACTATTTTAAAGGNTTAGATAAAGCATGGAAAATTCTGCAATATTATTTATTATATTTATAGTAAATGTAACTTAATAGTAAAGACCTAAAATTAATATCAATAGTTCATTGTATGATTATTTCAAAATATGGCTTAAAATTGTAGTCTTTAATGTAACAAATTATTCCACAGGATTTTACATAAACTCCAGGTGGCATACACTGCGATTCTAAAAGTGCCTTTTTTCCACTACAAAGGCATTACTTGTTCATTTGTGGAAATGAATTGTCAACATCAATGGTACAGTACCTAGAAGTTAACAGAGTTCCAGAGTTCAAAGAGTAAAAACTTTAGATGCCTTGTATTATGAAACATTGGGTGTGTGAGTCCTCTTTCACCCCACTGAAGTCCTAAGGAAAGCGTGAAGGTGCCTTTTTTGCATTGGTAACGGATGCAGTGTTTTATTGCTAAAGAAAGGATTTACGAAATTATGAAATGAATTGGTAAGTAACAGTATCAATTAAAAGTAGTAGAAAGTAGTAGAAATACTAGAAAACTCAGTTTCTTAAACATTTGTAACTTACTCCCAATAGACAGATTTTGAAGATCGTTCCAGAAATGTCAGATGCAGAATGTGTGAATGTTAGCTTAATACAAGGGATAGACCCTTTATTTTTTTTTTTAACGACAATGTAATCACTATCTATACTTTTATTTTGACTTTAATTTGAGAGTCAGAAGAAATGTGATAATTGAATATCGTAACAGTTGTGTGTTTATTATTTTAGCAGCCACTTTTAAAATATTATTAATTAAAACTAGTTAATTATTTTTCTTGTTCATTTCTACAGATTGGTCAACAAATGAGGGGGATTGGAAAGTTAATTTTGACCTTAACGATAACGACTTGGGATATCTGCACTGGTATCCTTTCTGAATTTGGTGTGCGTTCCACAATTGTAAACCATGGAACGTTACCTTCTACATCTAATTCATCTTGCAGGCTCTTGTAGTTAATTAAGGTGAGCATACATGCTATATTATACACAGGGTGTCTCAAGTAAGCGGGATTCTTCAATAACTGCTTTATAGCTAAAGATATCGAAAAAAAATTCTTACAAAAGTGCTACCATATAAGTATCTTCATATCCTAAAATTATTTTCGATTATACCATATATTATGTCTAAAATGCATCAATTTCCATAAAAAATTCTTACAAAAGTGCTATCATATAAGTATCTTCATATCCTAAAATTATTTTCGATTATACCATATATTATGTCTAAAATGCATCAATTTCCATAAAATTCGCATTAAATCAATACATAGGCGGTTATGGGGCATTCCATTTGAAAAAATGAGGTTAGGTATCCTTCAGGAAACATGGGATACTCTGTATAATCGAAAATAATTTTAGGATATGAAGATACTTATATATGGAAGCGCTTTTGTAAGAAACTCTTTTTCGATATCTTCAACTATAAAGCAGTTATTGAAGAAATCCGCTTGTTTGTGACACCCTGTATATGTATTTGTTATTTGCGAGTTAATTACGGTAGAGAATTTCTTTGTCCTATTTCAGCGGAATCGGTTGTAATATACATGTGTTACACAGGCAGATAAGGCGGTCGTTTTACGCGAACGGAAAAAATGTAGACAAGACCTTGCAGCGGAAAACTGCAGCCAACGTTTATATATCCTTAAAGAATTAATCATCACTTTTAAAAGAGTTAGGCGTATGGTTAGTTACCCTGATTACCCTGAAAATGCGATCGTCTAGATGGAAATGCGACCTTTTCGAGAAAAAATCGCACTTATCTAGAACAATATAAAATTTTTCGGACCTTGACACGAACTACAGAGTGTTTATTCATTATTTATTTATTTATTTTGTGTATTTCCATCAAAGTAGGCCAAACGCATTTTGAGATAACACTCTAAAACATACGTACATCGAATAAGTAATTAATTTATAAATTATCATTGTTATTAAATAATTACTTTCTTGTTGTTTTGTAATCTACGGGAGTATTTCAAGTAGAAAATGGATTTAAGTTAAGTTTAAGGGTGCTATAAAAATGTTGGTCTTACCCTGTCGATGAGACCCAGTTTGTCGAAATAGATCCAAGACGACATGAAGGTGTTTCCCACAGTCATTAGGGCACTTTTGTAGCCGAACATGAATTCCCTCGCTGTCATTTCAATAAGGGGTAGCGAATTCGTTTGCCTTATCAGTAAATTCAACCCCAGGCGGGTAAAATACGACTCGTCGGACACCACATGGGCAATACTCTGCAAAAAAAGGATCAACGATTATATATATATATGCAGTTTTACGTGTTATTGAGGTATTTTTTGTCGTTAACAACTTTCAAGGGTTTGATTTTTAGATTAAGTTACAATAAGTTTTATTATTAGACATCACAGCTTTAAAGGAGCAAATTCATTTAATAGAAATCACTATAATATAATATATAATATACTACAAGTCCCAATAATCAACAACGTTTCTATTTAATTAGAATACTGCTTACAAAAACGAACCAATTAGAAAAGCTCCGTTAGGCGTGCATTAAATATCGAAAAGAATGTGGATCTGTCTTAATTTTAACGAAATAGTAGGCTGCTACAGTTATTTAAGAAAAAGAAATAAGTTGGTAGGTGTTTCATTTTTGTTTACGTCGAAGGTAACCGTTAAAATTTTGTAGCGAAAACTGATCGATGTACTGCCGATCCCAAAGCTAATGACACAACATAGTACAGACTTTAACAATGGCCGAACGTTCCTTGAATTGGTTCATTTTTTTTTAATAGAAATTATTAATCAATAAAATGTCGACATAGGGCCTTCCCTGGCTTAGTACTTAGTGACCCATTACTTCACATGCACGCACCATTTTAATTGTACTTGGACTTTTGGCAAGAATTTTGCAAAAGGATTGTAAAAAACATTTTTTTTTTCATCTACTTGTAAAAGGAACCTAAATGTTAGGTACTAATAATTGTATCCACAGGCAACTTGACGGTTGGTTATTTTACTCTTGCCCTAACATTCGTTTGCTTATTAGTTATCCATTCGTTCATTTTTCTAATTTATTAAGCAATAAATAATGTTATCGTATGTTTTTTCTAAATTTTCCGCTACTACCCTTGACTTTCTTTTGTTTCGATAATTTCGTGGTGTTCCAGTTCCTGATTCAGGGGTGCTATTAAGCTGTTAAAGTAAACTTCGAGCTCTTTCGCGTTCATCTTTTTTCGCGTGTCGGGAATGTACGATAGTTTGCGTTCTATCGAACTGGGAATTTCTTCGTCGATCCAGGGCGTCCGGCTGGGGGTTCCGGAGCGTCTTTTCTTCCTGAAATATCTGACGATCGAAACCAGGAAAAATGCGGCACCCATGAAAAATAACGCGTACATTGCCGCCACCTGGACCACCGGTAAAACGTTCAGGTAAAGATTGAATCGGCTGGCAAGACTGTTCGGCAAAGTGTACATTCTCTGTAACAAACAAAAAAATTATGATTAGGTCATTAATTAAACTGGCATAATTAAATATTGGGGCGGGAAGTATTTAAGTTTATGGGTCCCGCGATCTCGTACTCCAGAAGAAAACAAGAACACTGGAATCAATTATTATATATATGTGATAATTTTATACGATATCCCACTGAAAATACGATATACTGATTATAGGGACGAAAGTGCTTCATTTTATTCCGTGTAAAAAATCGCCTTCGGCTCGGGGTAGCAATTTTCAATCGGACGAAAATTTTAGGGGTAAGGTTATTATTGTGGCTGATGGATTTTTCTAGGTCATGTGACATGTCTTCGAAAACGGCTAGCTTTACGGATTTCTTAATCGTATGTGGCGGCTTTTATCAGATAAATTACCAGAAATATGCACTAAAAGGGTTTTGCATTTATTTCTGGAACAACTAGGTACCTACTAAAGATTACAGGACATTTACGCTAGAGGTTCATAATTATTATTCGCGATTTTCTACAAAATTTTTATATTTCGACCAGTAGGTGGAGTAACTTTAGGGAGAATTAATATTATCTCTGGTCTAACTTACGTATGCTGTCCTTTTTATTATAATACTTTTTAGGAATTTTTCAGTTTATAGATAAAATATGTTTGTTTTTTAGTGTACATATTACACTTAATTCGGGTGTATTTTTGCTAATCAGTAATTAAATTAATATCCCTTTCGTCTAATCTAAATCAGTGTTTCTATTTCAGCATGAGTCGTCGTATCGGTTCGTGTACCTTCTGCGCATGTTGTTCACAGTGCCCTGTGCCGAAGTACCGTAACAGTTATTCCGTTCGTTACCGCATCGGACACGCGACCCTTCGCATTAACGTAAATACGTGTCGTGGTGCCGTTTTGTTACCGTATTAATGAGACTAATTTAAAGACGGCATCGTGTCGTTATCGTCGAAAATATAAAAATGACTTTTTGTGCAACATTTGGTGCCATTGTTCCCATTCGTTATTACCTGGGATGCATACGGAGGCACGGATGGTAGGAGGTCGACTTTTAGGGTGTAAGGTAAGATTTTTTTTTGTATTGTATGTTCGTTTATTGCTTTTCACGCTTTTGAGGTATTTTTTATCGTCGAAAACATTTAAGGGCTTGATATTTAAGCCAATACTATTGTGGTAGATACCTTTTCGTTTTTACGAACGATTCCAGCGATTTTTAGGTGGTATGTAAGATTTTTGAGGTACTTTTTGTCGTAAATTACGTTGAAGGGTTTTAGTTTTAGATCAAAATTTTTTGGTACCATNCTCAAAAATCTAAAATAACTTCAAGAAAAAATAACTTGCGCTAAGATAAAATTACATAACTCATTTAAGTACTATAGGAATTAGAAACTTTCGAAAAGGTACACAACTCTCAGGGCATTTATTTCTCCTTAACACTATTTTAAAACGGCCTACGTGTTTGGCCCACATATAACGTACGAATCTTCTGGAAATGTTGTAGCATTTCAAGAGCAATTAGCCTATAGAACATTCATTGCTGTGTAACGCGAAAATGAAAGCAAATATTATGTATTATGTCCACATATACAACATCTAGTACTAGCTACTAAATACCCAATAATAATGACGAAGTTTAGTATAATGAAAACTGACATTTATTACAAGTATATGTTGCATTACTGTTAAACAAATAGTAATAACGACAATGAAAACTATTATCGTTATTATAATTTGAGAACAGGTTTCGTTTTAACAACAATGAATGAATATGAATGAATAAAAAACGTAAGTTTTGTGTATATAACTATTGTAGTAACAATAATTACGCAAAGTACATCTACCTGAAGTTTAACGATCTAACAAAATAAACACTAGTTTATAGAGGCAATTTATTGTTGAAAATAATAGCGTTAGGTAATAATTTGGTCAATTCAGTGACCTCTTCAGTTACAACATAATATTTGATTCATTTGCTACGCTTAACTGCAAGGGGTAGGTTTACTATTATTATTATATTTATTAGGTGTGGTTTTATTGGGTGACCTTCTCATTAGCATTACAAACTCNGCGACGAGGCTTCTGGTTATTTTTCAGAAGAAAGTGAAGAAGAGGAGTCTGAAGAATTGAGAAAAGATTTTGTAGAGGATTTTGTTGATGAAACAGCACCCAAGTGAGTACAACTATTAAACATTTACATTAGTTACTTCCAATTTATTTTTTCTTGTGGCATTCCCAGGATTCCTCAAAAAGATAAGAGGGAAAAGCACAGTGTAAAAGCCCCTATACTAACCAATACGACCTTAACAGTCCTAAGACAGATGGGAAAGTATTTACAAATGTCCAGACTTCTGAGGCCCATAGCTTTCGACATAATAATGTGCATGACACAATTGTTTGACTTCTACTTGTACACTGTACATTCGTTTTTCGCCTCTGACTTGGTAATTGCTTATAATTATATAATTCGTGTTATTAATTGATGTATTTATCTATGTACAGACTGTGTCTGGTACATCTCTGTATTCGATCAAGTTCAGTGCGACTTTGAAAAGAATCTCCGATGACTTGGTTACCGACGAAACGAATCATCAAAATGGTAAAGTTTTGAAGCCGATTTTGTCTTCGATTGTGAATTTGTCGAATCCGGAAGACCTGAATGGATTAGCGGAGAGAATTTGTGCCGTTGAAAGTGTCGTATTTTTGGCGAAACAGTACGAGTTTTTGCAGAACTATATGGAATACCTGATACCCACAAGTAAAAAGGCCTCTTTGCAACATTTTTTTAGCCAGGTACCTTTTAAATTATATTTTACCCCTTTATTATTTTCCCTTTTGTTAGCAGTCAATTAAGTTTCTTATTTTGCCATAATTGCCCTTCCTTCCTCATATATTTATTTCAGTAAAAAGGCGAGGGTTATATTATTAAAAACCGTTTTATTTATTACATTTATAAAAAGAAATTACAACTCCTTATAAAATTAATAATAGTCATGTTAGTCTAATTTAAAACTTAATTTTTGTAGCACTTAGTAAATAACCCCCGAAATTCATCGTAATTTCGGGATGAGTTCTTTCAGGTAGTACCTGATAATATCTCATGAAATTATTGGTCACTCTGATATTGACAAAGTCCGAACGTTTCTTTAAATAAACGTAGAGGTCTTCTAGGGGTTCCGAAATCATACTAAACACAACCAGAGCTCTGCTGGGATTCAAAAACTGCACCAATTCTTCAACAATACTTTCTGGATGCTCTTTAGCTACTATTATTAAAGCGTCAATCTTATCCTTTAATATCTCACATGCCTTTTGATTATCAAAGTGCCAACAGGGCCTTTTAGCTGAGGGGCCACTTGTAGAATTTTCTTGATCATTGTGGGTACGTTTAATACCCTTGGGTGCTTCATTTTCTTCATCTTTTGATGTTTCTACTACAGTAGGTTGTTCTTCTTTTGTTTGATTATTAACTTCTGTTTCATCTTTACTCTCATCATTTTTCTGTACATCCCCCTGATAATACCAACGTAATACAGAGTAAAGATTAACATTGATACACCTTTCTACTTGTTCCTTGGGGAAATTCATTGCAAGAAAAGCAGCTTTTTGACACTCATTTCCTGGATGAGCATGTACAAGTTTTCCTGTTGTGTTAGCACCAATTGCATTCATGATTGCTGCACTAATTAGTCCTGAAGTTCCACTGTCATATAGTAAAAAGTTTCCATCAGACTGGACATTGGAATAGGTCAAAATTTGTGACAGGTCATCTATTCTAACACCTAATACTTTAGAGGGATCTAAACGGTAATATGTTTCAGCCAATAGCCTTATTGTGGGCTTTCGTATTTGTATATATTCGAAATATTTCTTTTCTTTTTTGCTAATGTACTTTTCTTGACTCATTTTGGTCTTCAATTTGAACGATTTCGAATTAGTAATGAGCTTTTCTATCATTTCACTTGAACCCAAGGCTTCGTCACGTAACTTGTCTATGTCTTCTTTTGAAAGAGCTTGGGAACTTCTGTCGTCGGTTATGTTGCGATTGTCTTCTCCAGACTCTTCTATATCCAATTCTGAGGCACTGGTGACGTTTTCCGTCTTTTCTAACGTGTACAAATTCTTTTTATCAGGGGATAAGACTATTTTAAAGGTGTCGAAGTACCTGTGGCCGATAACATTGCTCATTTCGATTCGTCTATTACCCAACGCTAGAATGCCATTTTTCTGTAGTTTATAAACTTTTGTGTATTTTTGCCTTTGAACTATCACATATTTGCCTGCTTCTAACGTTTCATCCATTTTTTATTATATTAAAAAGTAATATTTGACAATGCGTTTTTTAAAGGTTATATTTACGTAAAAGTTGGGTTAGTTATTATTATTATCTTTAAAATGGGGGCTGGACTTTGTCAGCATGGGCGGCTCGTACGTATGGTAAAGAAGGTTACAAAAAAAGCAGTAGAAAATAAAGGATACGTCTTTTTCGTTACCAAAAAGGGCACTATACTAATTTTGGGCTCTTCTTTCAGACGGTGTGTTACGTTACGGATTTAAGACGCCCTGTATACATGTGCGTTGCTGCTAGAGCATTTGATTTACGACAAATTTTAACCACAATGTCAAAGGTCAATTGGGAGGTTAAAGATGTTATGTCCCAGCACAATGGATATATAGACGTTTTGCTAAGGGTATGTCAAAAAATATTTTTTCGTATTTTGTTTGATTTGATAACGTTAATATATGTCACAGGAAGTACAGATTTTTACTCTACGTCTTGAACAAATTAGCGTTAAGGTTCCTATAACAAACGAAGTCCAAAAATCTCTTTGGGAAAATATCGCACATATTATTACGCACACATTGGTCCAGGGGTTAGTATTTTACGAAAGCAATATTTTTCTATTAGGAAGGGGCGAATTTTAAAGGTTTGGTTAGATTTTCAGATGCTAAAAAGTGTTCTAATGGGGGTCGAGCGCTCATGCAATTAGATTTTACGCAATTTTTGTCAAAATTCGAAAAGATTTCCAATTTGCGTCCTGTTCCTCATAAAGAATACGTTGAAAATTATGTTAAAGCCTACTATTTACCAGAGGACGAGTTAGAAAGGTGGATACGAGAACACAACGTAAGTTGTTGGTTTTTCGTTGTTTCCACGTCAACTTTCCCAATTTTTTTTTATTATTGTAGGAATACTCCACTAAACATCTTTTCGGCCTAGTAAGCTGTGCGTATCAAAATAATAAACGCGTCAAACAACGCCTTTATCAAGTCATCGAGGACTTGGACAAAACTGTTCAAAGATAGCAGTTTCTTTTGTACTGTGATTAATTCTTTTTCCTTTTGTTTATAATTACTATTGTTAGATGACAGTTTTTATAAACAGTTGAAGAAGGTTTTCTTTTTTTTTTTGTATTTGTTAATCGTTGTTGCGATTGTTAGATAGGAAAATAAAAATATAACAGTATAGTACATATAAATATTAAGCAACTAAATTATTGTTATAGTAGCGTATCAGTAAACGGACAAAGTCGTATCTATTTTGTAGGTCATATTTTTTACATTGTAAATCTTTACTTTATTAAAACAATTCAATTACCTTAAATATTTCAGTTTAAGAAATTTTCACGCCGCCACTGGTAAAACTGTTGTTTCGTTGGTTGCCTAACTAGGTGTAATAAGTTGACAATTTTTAAATAGGTTATTTTTCAGAAGAAAGTGAAGAAGAGGAGTCTGAAGAATTGAGAAAAGATTTTGTAGAGGATTTTGTTGATGAAACAGCACCCAAGTGAGTACAACTATTAAACATTTACATTAGTTACTTCCAATTTATTTTTTCTTGTGGCATTCCCAGGATTCCTCAAAAAGATAAGAGGGAAAAGCACAGTGTAAAAGCCCCTATACTAACCAATACGACCTTAACAGTCCTAAGACAGATGGGAAAGTATTTACAAATGTCCAGACTTCTGAGGCCCATAGCTTTCGACATAATAATGTGCATGACACAATTGTTTGACTTCTACTTGTACACTGTACATTCGTTTTTCGCCTCTGACTTGGTAATTGCTTATAATTATATAATTCGTGTTATTAATTGATGTATTTATCTATGTACAGACTGTGTCTGGTACATCTCTGTATTCGATCAAGTTCAGTGCGACTTTGAAAAGAATCTCCGATGACTTGGTTACCGACGAAACGAATCATCAAAATGGTAAAGTTTTGAAGCCGATTTTGTCTTCGATTGTGAATTTGTCGAATCCGGAAGACCTGAATGGATTAGCGGAGAGAATTTGTGCCGTTGAAAGTGTCGTATTTTTGGCGAAACAGTACGAGTTTTTGCAGAACTATATGGAATACCTGATACCCACAAGTAAAAAGGCCTCTTTGCAACATTTTTTTAGCCAGGTACCTTTTAAATTATATTTTACCCCTTTATTATTTTCCCTTTTGTTAGCAGTCAATTAAGTTTCTTATTTTGCCATAATTGCCCTTCCTTCCTCATATATTTATTTCAGTAAAAAGGCGAGGGTTATATTATTAAAAACCGTTTTATTTATTACATTTATAAAAAGAAATTACAACTCCTTATAAAATTAATAATAGTCATGTTAGTCTAATTTAAAACTTAATTTTTGTAGCACTTAGTAAATAACCCCCGAAATTCATCGTAATTTCGGGATGAGTTCTTTCAGGTAGTACCTGATAATATCTCATGAAATTATTGGTCACTCTGATATTGACAAAGTCCGAACGTTTCTTTAAATAAACGTAGAGGTCTTCTAGGGGTTCCGAAATCATACTAAACACAACCAGAGCTCTGCTGGGATTCAAAAACTGCACCAATTCTTCAACAATACTTTCTGGATGCTCTTTAGCTACTATTATTAAAGCGTCAATCTTATCCTTTAATATCTCACATGCCTTTTGATTATCAAAGTGCCAACAGGGCCTTTTAGCTGAGGGGCCACTTGTAGAATTTTCTTGATCATTGTGGGTACGTTTAATACCCTTGGGTGCTTCATTTTCTTCATCTTTTGATGTTTCTACTACAGTAGGTTGTTCTTCTTTTGTTTGATTATTAACTTCTGTTTCATCTTTACTCTCATCATTTTTCTGTACATCCCCCTGATAATACCAACGTAATACAGAGTAAAGATTAACATTGATACACCTTTCTACTTGTTCCTTGGGGAAATTCATTGCAAGAAAAGCAGCTTTTTGACACTCATTTCCTGGATGAGCATGTACAAGTTTTCCTGTTGTGTTAGCACCAATTGCATTCATGATTGCTGCACTAATTAGTCCTGAAGTTCCACTGTCATATAGTAAAAAGTTTCCATCAGACTGGACATTGGAATAGGTCAAAATTTGTGACAGGTCATCTATTCTAACACCTAATACTTTAGAGGGATCTAAACGGTAATATGTTTCAGCCAATAGCCTTATTGTGGGCTTTCGTATTTGTATATATTCGAAATATTTCTTTTCTTTTTTGCTAATGTACTTTTCTTGACTCATTTTGGTCTTCAATTTGAACGATTTCGAATTAGTAATGAGCTTTTCTATCATTTCACTTGAACCCAAGGCTTCGTCACGTAACTTGTCTATGTCTTCTTTTGAAAGAGCTTGGGAACTTCTGTCGTCGGTTATGTTGCGATTGTCTTCTCCAGACTCTTCTATATCCAATTCTGAGGCACTGGTGACGTTTTCCGTCTTTTCTAACGTGTACAAATTCTTTTTATCAGGGGATAAGACTATTTTAAAGGTGTCGAAGTACCTGTGGCCGATAACATTGCTCATTTCGATTCGTCTATTACCCAACGCTAGAATGCCATTTTTCTGTAGTTTATAAACTTTTGTGTATTTTTGCCTTTGAACTATCACATATTTGCCTGCTTCTAACGTTTCATCCATTTTTTATTATATTAAAAAGTAATATTTGACAATGCGTTTTTTAAAGGTTATATTTACGTAAAAGTTGGGTTAGTTATTATTATTATCTTTAAAATGGGGGCTGGACTTTGTCAGCATGGGCGGCTCGTACGTATGGTAAAGAAGGTTACAAAAAAAGCAGTAGAAAATAAAGGATACGTCTTTTTCGTTACCAAAAAGGGCACTATACTAATTTTGGGCTCTTCTTTCAGACGGTGTGTTACGTTACGGATTTAAGACGCCCTGTATACATGTGCGTTGCTGCTAGAGCATTTGATTTACGACAAATTTTAACCACAATGTCAAAGGTCAATTGGGAGGTTAAAGATGTTATGTCCCAGCACAATGGATATATAGACGTTTTGCTAAGGGTATGTCAAAAAATATTTTTTCGTATTTTGTTTGATTTGATAACGTTAATATATGTCACAGGAAGTACAGATTTTTACTCTACGTCTTGAACAAATTAGCGTTAAGGTTCCTATAACAAACGAAGTCCAAAAATCTCTTTGGGAAAATATCGCACATATTATTACGCACACATTGGTCCAGGGGTTAGTATTTTACGAAAGCAATATTTTTCTATTAGGAAGGGGCGAATTTTAAAGGTTTGGTTAGATTTTCAGATGCTAAAAAGTGTTCTAATGGGGGTCGAGCGCTCATGCAATTAGATTTTACGCAATTTTTGTCAAAATTCGAAAAGATTTCCAATTTGCGTCCTGTTCCTCATAAAGAATACGTTGAAAATTATGTTAAAGCCTACTATTTACCAGAGGACGAGTTAGAAAGGTGGATACGAGAACACAACGTAAGTTGTTGGTTTTTCGTTGTTTCCACGTCAACTTTCCCAATTTTTTTTTATTATTGTAGGAATACTCCACTAAACATCTTTTCGGCCTAGTAAGCTGTGCGTATCAAAATAATAAACGCGTCAAACAACGCCTTTATCANAATTAGTGAATTATGCGATTAATTAAAATATGATGTTTGATGCACAGTTGTTATACGTGCAATTTATAGGTAATAAAAATAAAAAAAAACAGAGAATAAAATTAAATTGCATATCTAATAAAATTAAATAAACTTTAACAAATGCATACTTTGATTACATCAATGAGTAAAATTAATTAAATTTTGTTCAGTTATCAATATTACTATTAATTTAAAGAAAAAATTGGAAAAGTACTTGATCCATTGGAATAAATTAATGGTAGATTTTCAAAAGTTGCAATGTTTCGTTGATATTTTTCAACTTCTTTAGGCCTTAATATTCTTTTTATAGCGCCAATTTGTGGAAATTTGTTATAACAATAAAAGTACTTTGTTTGACAATTTTTTTTTGGGAAAACAAAGATAACGAGAACAATTGGAATCCAGTTTTCTTTGTTATTGTTTGTAGGGTTTTGTTAAATATAACTGTATTTACGTAAACATTATTATTCCCGAAGGGAGGCTTGGGATGGGTAGGGTTAGATGAAATTTGAAGCTTTTACTTACAATTTCAGTCCATAAAAGTGGCAAGACCATATTTGAAAATCGTTCTGTGTTGGCAATTGTACTAATACTTCCTAGGGCCATATTTATTTGCATTCTTACTGCTACATCAAGCGGTAGTCCTGATTCCTGGAACAATAAAAAAAAATTATTATTTCCTGCTGCTATAATATTCAAAAATCATTGATGTCAACCTTCATTTTCAAAGATATTTTGAAAATAATAACTCCGTTCAATTCTTTGTTGAATTTTAAAAAATATTTTCCTTTACAGTTTTTAAATTCGATGCTGCCTACAGATTAGGCTAGTTATTAGGTCCTAATTTATTAATTATTAATTGCTCTGTAATTAAACATCGGATTGGAAAACTGTAAAGGAAAATGTTTCTTAAAATTTCACAAAGTATCGAATGATGCATGTATTTTTTCCTATAAATTTTGCAAATTCTTAAAATAAACATACCGGGTTAATAACGAAAAATGACGTATGCTTTTCAGGGTCGGGTTTAGAGCCTTCGGTTTTTTCGAATACTACAGGGTCGGCTTTGTAGAAATGGGGGTAGCTTAGGGCAATAGGGAATCCGTAGTAGCAACCGTGTACGTCAAGTAGGCCCGGGGGTAGGCATCTGTCACTGCTGCAGAAGCATTTGTTTTCCGGATAGTATTTACCATTGTCGTTAGAGTTTTCTTTGAAGTGGTAAACGTATCCTTTTAGACCAGATGAAGTGGTTTCTCCAACTTTTTCCTGAAAAGAAGAAAATACAAATTAGTTCTCATTGTAAGGCGATGTTGTTTATGTTGTTCTGGAAAGACTTTTTTAATTTGTTAATAATCCAAAGTGTTTACCGCATTCTCGACTGGAAATTGTTCATTTATTAGTAATTTTGATTAATTCCGTCACAGGTAAAAATATCACTTTCAGGATGAAATTCTGATTGAGATGTTTACATTCATTAAATTATTGTTGACTTCAAAGTAAAAGATAATTCCTAAATCTATTTTAATCTGTATAAAAATTTGAATAATGGACATATTTGAATTTTAAAGTTTTACTATATTTTCCATTAATTAACATTTATTTTAATTGCATATTTATGCTAGGTTGAAAGTTCCGTAGGTACTTATGTCTAATGTTACTTTTTTTTTTTGATAGGATACAAGATGAATAGATAAGGAATTTAACACTAATCGTAAATAAACAATTTGCGCGCTAGAACAATATTAGATGCGACAAAAAAAGCAATTAATTTTCATTTAAATTACTGTAGCATTGAAAATCGCATAACTAATTCCATTTGGTAGAATTAATTCGGTTTTAATTTTTGTATTTTTAAATATTTACGTCAATTAAAAGAATTGAAAGTAATAAGGGATTATGGCAGCAACAACTTTTAAGTATTTTAGATCTTAAAAAAATAGTGGTGTTGAAATTTTAAAAATAGGTAATAGCAGATAAAATCATCATCATCATAAGGTCATCAGTCCTAAGACTGGTTGGACACGTATCCTGAGCTAAACTTCGCATTTCCCTAAAACTAGAACAGCCCACATCCTTAACTATTTGTGAAGAGTAATCTAATCTACCCTCTACCCCTCCTAACTCCTGTTTCTGCCTCTAATATGTCTCTGACTAGACGTTCATGCTTGAGAAGCTGTCCTACCAACCTATCTCGCCTATTTTTTATTGACTTCCATAGAGTTCTCTGTTCTCCTATTCTCTCTTCATTTCTAACCTTTTCTACCCACGATATCCTCATCATCCGCCTATAACACCACATTTCGAACGCTTCTAACCTTTTCTTTTCCGCAGCGCTCACTGTCCACGTTTCGCACCCGTACAACGCCGTACTTCAAACATTAACCTTTAACAACCTTTTTCGAATTTCTAAATTAACGGTTCGCGAGCATAGAAGTGACTTCTTTTTATTAAAGGCATCACGACCCTGCGCTATCCTCTGCTTTATATCCCTACTACTCCTTCCGTCCTGACTTATCTGACTTCCTAGGTATCTAAAATCAGCCACTTCTTCTAATTTTTCGTCTCCTATCTTTATATTCGCTCTTTCCCTACTTTTTCTTCCCTTGCATACCAGTATTCTAGTTTTACTTTTATTTATTTTTATACAGTACTGATCTGTCAGTACCGCTTCCATTTTATTTGCTAGATGCTAATACTGCTATATAATCTGCAAATCTAAGCATACTAATCTTTTGCCCTTGCACATCTAACCCTACAGATAAAATGATAGACAAAATTTTCTATGTACTATCTTCCCCTAAGATATAAAATATTTTTTGAATTAGATACAATCAGTAAGGGGTGAAGTATTTTTTATTGATTGAAGATTACATAATCACCTTTACCACCTACTGATTGCTTCTAATTGAAAAAATTTTAATTTCTTTTCACTTCCTTGCGAAATGGGGATGAAGCTTCTGTTTATTTCTAATCTGTGGAGCACCCTGTATATGCGAATGAGTAAACTAATTCTTACCAGTATTTGCGTCCTGCACATGCTTTTCCTGAAGAAAAGTATTGTTTCGTTCGGTTTCAAGTTTCCCTTGAACTTGGTACCATCGGACGCGTTTTGGATATTCCCGCAGGGATTGTCCCATTGCGGTATCTTGGTTTCGCCCCTGTATTTGTCAATTAGTCCCGCTTTTGTTACGTCGTCTTCCCCAGTAAAAACAGTTTCGAAGTCACCATCAAAGTCGTACATCTGCAATAATAGAATAACAGAAATTAGTAATTCATCTGGAATTTGTTTACGTATATCCAAGTGTTTTAACATTTATGTTTTTATAGTGAAAGGGATAATTTTATTCTTTATATTTATTGGAAAGTTTATTATTAAAAACAGATGAATTATTTTGATAAAATATTCACTCGGCACTTGCGGATTTTCCACTGACTGACTGTGTCTTCTTCGAAATGAATATTTTAATCAATCGAAAGAATGACATTTGTATTTCCGTTATAGCAGGTTATCTCGTAACAATAAAATTACTAATAAAGTATGATTTGTATTGTTCATCCGTCAATAAATTTTAATGTGCCGGTCATGTTTCATCAGGTGACATGACATGGCTTTGTAATTACTTTCAGTTATGCTACGGGGTCATTTTACGAGTCGTTTTATGGATTTGTCAATTTCTTTTCGAACGTCTGACTGTGAATCTTTCATTAAAGACAGTTTTTTTTTTCCAAATCAGTTAATCAAAACAATTCTACTTAAAATTGTGTACGGTAGTATTTTTTGATGGAATTTGTCGGATTGGCGTATAGGAGATCATCTTAATTTAGTTTTTTTTTTTAAAGAATGAATTTTTGTTTGATTTTTCTCTGAGAAAAAGATTTTTGAATTGTGTTTCAAAGTAGGTCGACGACGACCTATAGACTTGAATTTTCAAATTTTTTTTAACGGGAATGTCACTTTAAATCAAAGAAGAAAAATCATCAGCAATAGAATGTAATTTTGTCGTTCGGGGTGGGCTATCTAAAAGTAATGCAGAAATGTCTAAAGGGGATTACCCCGGATAGTGTTTCAGTGGGACGTTTTTAAATTGATCCCGAAGGACAAATTTGCATTACAGTGATTTTTTTTCTTTATTATGGTAGGTCAGATATTCGTTGAGAAATTAACGAATGCCATGATACTATAAAAAAATATCCTATTGAAAATTGTTGATTTAAGAAGGACTCAAGTTGTTAAAATACTTCTTTTTACAATTTCAACGTTATTATATTGTTTATTTGTTAAGTATTAATTATCGCGCTTTTTTGTTTATATACAGGGGGTCCCAAGCAGGCGGGTTTCTTCAATAACTGCTTTATAGTTGAAAAAAAAATTCTTACAAAAGTGCTATCATATAAGTATCTTCATATCCTAAAATTATTTTCGATTATACCATATATTATGTCTAAAATGCATCAATTTCCATAAAATTCGCATTAAATCAATACATAGGCGGTTATGGGGCATTCCATTTGAAAAAATGAGGTTAGGTATCCTTCAGGAAACATGGGATACTCTGTATAATCGAAAATAATTTTAGGATATGAAGATACTTATATATGGAAGCGCTTTTGTAAGAAACTCTTTTTCGATATCTTCAACTATAAAGCAGTTATTGAAGAAATCCGCTTGTTTGTGACACCCTGTATATGTATTTGTTATTTGCGAGTTAATTACGGTAGAGAATTTCTTTGTCCTATTTCAGCGGAATCGGTTGTAATATACATGTGTTACACAGGCAGATAAGGCGGTCGTTTTACGCGAACGGAAAAAATGTAGACAAGACCTTGCAGCGGAAAACTGCAGCCAACGTTTATATATCCTTAAAGAATTAATCATCACTTTTAAAAGAGTTAGGCGTATGGTTAGTTACCCTGATTACCCTGAAAATGCGATCGTCTAGATGGAAATGCGACCTTTTCGAGAAAAAATCGCACTTATCTAGAACAATATAAAATTTTTCGGACCTTGACACGAACTACAGAGTGTTTATTCATTATTTATTTATTTATTTTGTGTATTTCCATCAAAGTAGGCCAAACGCATTTTGAGATAACACTCTAAAACATACGTACATCGAATAAGTAATTAATTTATAAATTATCATTGTTATTAAATAATTACTTTCTTGTTGTTTTGTAATCTACGGGAGTATTTCAAGTAGAAAATGGATTTAAGTTAAGTTTAAGGGTGCTATAAAAATGTTGGTCTTACCCTGTCGATGAGACCCAGTTTGTCGAAATAGATCCAAGACGACATGAAGGTGTTTCCCACAGTCATTAGGGCACTTTTGTAGCCGAACATGAATTCCCTCGCTGTCATTTCAATAAGGGGTAGCGAATTCGTTTGCCTTATCAGTAAATTCAACCCCAGGCGGGTAAAATACGACTCGTCGGACACCACATGGGCAATACTCTGCAAAAAAAGGATCAACGATTATATATATATATATGTTAACGGAAATGTGTAATCCGTCATTTTATACAATTCCTAGGAAATGTATATGATTCCTAAAATCGCTGGGAAATGTGTAAAATAAATTATATTAGACACATTTCCTAGGAGATCTATACATTTCCTAAATAGCAATCGGAAATGTATTATATTAAAAATGTCAATGGGTACGCATGGATGGCGGAGACAGGGGACGATATTTCGTCATTATCACATATAACGCTGATTCTTAGTTTACTAAGTGTTTTATTCATTTTATTCGCAGAAATCCTAATACAATATCTATCGGACTTTTATACAATTCCTAGGATATGTGTGTATTAAAAAATCTTTGAAACAATATTTTAAAGATTTCCCAAACAGCCTAGGAATTGCAAACATTTCCTAGGAATTGTATACAATTCGTAGATTTCATGCATTTCCGGTAGCATATACATATATGTATCAAATTGTAGGTCTTGGTATTCTACTTTCGTTGAAAAAAAGGGAGTGCGGACTACTGTCCACACGGTTCAAGCGAGATGTATTTTCGTGAAAATTTTTTTCTTCTTTATTACGACAACAGCGTGTGGAAAATTTACAAATGAATTAGTGGGTTCAGATAGAAACGTAATGTTGTTGCTTGCTTTAATCCGTTAATAATTGCTGTACAATTTAATAACTACATACACATATAACAAACATCCGTTTGATATTTTCCAATTGGATATTAATCATAAAAAGCGAAAATTATATCGAAGATGTAAATAATAATTTAACGTTTTTCCAAGGATTCTCGTTTACGTTTGTTTATCGTCATTTCTAAAGATCAAAAGCTCCCTGGTTAGTTAGCTCTGTCTACGCGTACAATTAAAAATAAATCAAGCAAAATCACATTTAAAATAATTACAAAATAACCGGCTCTCGTGATAATTTTGTATTATTTTGTCATTAGCCTTGAACTCTGCTACTTTGTTAATATTTAATTCGACTAATTAATTAAGTTTGTTATAGCAGGTATCTACGTAAATATCGGTTAGAGTTCTTACAAAACATTCTACCAATTTAGAGAGAGGGCACATCTCACTAAGGACATGTATCTTTGAATTAATTAACTTTAGTAATTATTTATCTTCTGCGCAAGGCAATGGGAAGTTAATCAATAATGTTCTTGTTCTTTTTATTTGTTTCCTAAAACTATCGAAACCTTATGTTACCTATCACCCCGTATATTATATTCAAATTCTTATGCAGTTTGCAACTAATTGTAATTTAAGTTCAGGGTTCTTTGCAAGGTTTAAATATATCAGGGTAAAATTTTTTATTTCTACAAGCAATTTGTTATGTTAATTTAGGAATACAATTCGCGCAGTTGATAAATTAACATTTCAAAATGACTTATCTTATAATTCAAAGTTTAATTATTGTCATAATTTTTTAATAACGTAGAATTGTGATTGCTATTAACAATAATGGTAATGTAATTTAATTAGTTATTCTTTGACATTTGGATTTTATGTGACATTTTACATTCTAAATTGTCTACTAATATAATAATAATAATTAATCAACTGAATTAACCGGTTATAAAATTATTCATGTCTCAAAAATCTAAAATAACTTCAAGAAAAAATAACTTGCGCTAAGATAAAATTACATAACTCATTTAAGTACTATAGGAATTAGAAACTTTCGAAAAGGTACACAACTCTCAGGGCATTTATTTCTCCTTAACACTATTTTAAAACGGCCTACGTGTTTGGCCCACATATAACGTACGAATCTTCTGGAAATGTTGTAGCATTTCAAGAGCAATTAGCCTATAGAACATTCATTGCTGTGTAACGCGAAAATGAAAGCAAATATTATGTATTATGTCCACATATACAACATCTAGTACTAGCTACTAAATACCCAATAATAATGACGAAGTTTAGTATAATGAAAACTGACATTTATTACAAGTATATGTTGCATTACTGTTAAACAAATAGTAATAACGACAATGAAAACTATTATCGTTATTATAATTTGAGAACAGGTTTCGTTTTAACAACAATGAATGAATATGAATGAATAAAAAACGTAAGTTTTGTGTATATAACTATTGTAGTAACAATAATTACGCAAAGTACATCTACCTGAAGTTTAACGATCTAACAAAATAAACACTAGTTTATAGAGGCAATTTATTGTTGAAAATAATAGCGTTAGGTAATAATTTGGTCAATTCAGTGACCTCTTCAGTTACAACATAATATTTGATTCATTTGCTACGCTTAACTGCAAGGGGTAGGTTTACTATTATTATTATATTTATTAGGTGTGGTTTTATTGGGTGACCTTCTCATTAGCATTACAAACTCCGTGTGAATTTTGCAATAAGACTTAACANAAATTATTTATTTATTTATGTAAACGGTTGTGTTAATGTAATTATGTATAATGATAATTAGAATAAAGGTAAAGTGTGTGTGTGGCATCATCGTCTTGGATGTGAACACCCTAGAAGTACCTTGAAATTAAATTTATTAGATAAAGTAGACGGTATATTTGTAAGGAATGTTGTAGATCTTAAATCATGAAGTTTTTATACGTTTTATTAAAACAGAATGCGAAACGGTATACGTGGGACAAACTAGACATTTACTAATTTTAAGATTTGAGTACCATGTAATTTCAATTTAAATGCAGGGTCCATTATTGGGGTGGCATATTTTTTTATGCAAAAAGATACCATTGGCCTCTTTCATACCTGTAATTTCTGTACTGAACAATTGAAAATAATGTCTCTGACCTTTGCAGAATTTAATGAAAAAATAAATAGATAGTTGAACTCGTCGAGAACGGGTTAAGGTCTGCTAAGCAATTTTTATACATATCGTTAGTTAAAGATCAGATTTGAGACGTTTAACAAATAGGAAATTTATTTGTTGGATGTCGTTAAGTTGAAGGTCTATATGCAGGTCAATATTTTTCCAACCATGAATCTCAAACACGATAAATATAAAGAAACAATTTCCTATTTTGTTACGATTTTGTAATATTTACTTTTTAATTACTTACAAAATTAGCATTTTATAAATCAGTCTACATATGTATTTGCCAATTCTACATGTCGCCTTTACAAAACATGACCTCTCGTTTGAACCTTGAGGTATAGTTCAATTTTTTTATTTTTATACAAACGTCTACTCTATGTGCATTAATTTAATTGACTGATTTTAAACAATAGATGAGAAAGTTGAACGTTGCGATTATGATTTGATAATTTGTATAAACAAATTCTTATGTACCGTTGCAGTTATATTTATCGCTTTTGTGTTTAATAACGAGAAAGAAATTTGTAGTTGACCAACAAAAAAGAAATTATATAATAAGGATGTGCTGTGCTGTATGTATGTATTTAGTATGCTGTGTTCACAAAGAAAAACTTTCACTTATTGTTCTTAATTAGAGAAGAGGAACACGTATGATATAACATTACGAGTTTTTGAACGCGAATTGGAGAAAAAAAAATTATTAATTGATTGAATTTAAATGTTGTATACTTTTACAGTTACGTAATGGACTGTTTATGAGGTTATTGCGAATGCGACATTTTTTAAATAGGCGAGGCATTAAAAAGGACACTTGTTACACACGTAATATACGGGTAGCGCCGTACAGCACCCTCGGCGCCTAATTGGTTGTAGTATTTGGCCCATTTTGTTTATTTTTTATTGCGACATAGAAATCGTAGGTAAGATAACATCGATCAAGCTCATCAGGTTAATCTTGAGAAATGTTGTTGACTTTACTAAGTACTAGTACCAACAACAGGTTCTTTCTTCTAGAACTTCTTACAAATCACCATATTCAACCTATAGTTGGAACGATTAAAATTGGCATAGTTCCCAATAAATTATCTGTGAGAATGGGCGTATCTCTGAGCAAGCTCTTGTTAAGTTAGGAAATACGTCATGAGTACTACAGATAAAATAAAAAGAGACAACCGAATAATTGTAAGCGATGCAGCGGTTCGAGGTTGGTTAGGTACGCAAAAGATCAGGGTCGGCTTTAGATAGGGTTGCCACCCGTATAGTAAAGTATTGTACACTATTTCGACTGTGCGTACGTTATACCTTACAAGACACATAAAGTACGCAAAAATATTTTATTTAAGGCCTTAAGTAAACATCGTAATTTTGTAAGCGATTATGCTAAATTCAGAGTATTTTTACATCAACAATATTGAACAATACAAAATTTTTGAGAATGTTTCTAAGTACGGAAAAGGTAGTGTCACCTTTGCTGTCCGTTCCGGCCACTTCAGCATTTACAGAAAGAGTATTCTCTGTTATGAACGCAAAGTGGCGGGACGACAGGAATAAAGCTTCATTAAAACTAATTAAAAATGAACTTTTA